GTTAAGCGATCGCCAGGTAGCATTTAATTGCCCGTCGCGGTCCTGGCTGGAGGGTTTTTCGTCGACGGGCGGAAAATCGTGGTCACCGGTACCCGCGTACCCTATAAATCACTTCCGACGCGGTGCTGTTTAATATTGATGATCCGATCGGTTCCTGGCCTCCGCGTCGTCGAGGCCGCGGATCTCTGGAACCAGTTCGTTACCGGCGAACGAGTTAATAAGGATAGGATTCGCCCGTGGCGATCTCGTCGACGAGTCCCAAGGATGGCGGGGGAACGCCTCCGCTAAACCGGAGCGCATTTGTTACGAGATCATTGTGCCTAGTCACGACCACGGGAACGAGAGCCAAGACAAATGGAAATCCGTGGCGTGCCGGGACCGGAGTCGACCGTGATTCACGAAGCGATTTCGAGCTGGTGGATAGCCTCGACGATAGTCCCGTGGACCTCGACCTTTCATAAAGGGGATAATTAAATGGCCCCCGGGGGCCTCGGACCTACGGACATCGCTCGCGTTCCCTCCAAAAGAATCGCGACGTCGTAGGCGAACTCGACGATGTATCATTCAGCATTCGGGCGTTGGCAACGCTCTTCGGAACGGTAGCCAGCCTATTTGCTCGAAATAGGTTGATCCGGATAATAATAATAGCTTTATGAAGACGTCGTAACGCGATGGTACCTCGAATTGTTCCCGATCGCCGAGGCTTCGCGTCCCCGTTGAATCGGAAAGCAACGAGGAGTTTCTCATGGCTCGTATTCGCAGGATGCCGGAGGAGATCGCGTTATTAAAAACCGTGTGGCTTCTAATAAAAAGGTGGCGGCGCGCGAGGGCCCCGGAAGCGGCGTAGTTCGCGGAACGAAGCACCGGAAGCCACGATCCCCGCCGGCCGTAGCCTTGAACAACCGTGGAACGTCTCTTGGAACTCGTCGGGTTACCACGCGAGGTATCGCGTTAGGGGACCGGTTGTGACGTAAATCCCGGGTTTCCTGCGCCCGTGACCACACCGTAGGACAATGGCGGACGAGAAGTTCGCACGTGTGCCCCGTTCGGACGTCTCACGACGCAAAAACGCACATATGTTTTATCGTATTTGGTAGAGGAAGCAGTAGTTGCAATACCAGTTGGAGACGCAGAAGGAACCGACCATCGGTGGAAAATTATTATATTCCGAACGAAACAAGTTCCTTCCTCTTTGTAATCACCGTCGTGGCGTACGGGCACGAGTAACTGTGATTGCACAAATTCTTCCAGGGTCGTGAACCCACCGTAATTAATCACGGTCGAGCACCCCCGACCGTTTCTGGCCTTCCTCCCCTGTGAAGATTTTCACGCGGAGGAAGCGTGAGCGTTCACACGTGTTCGTGGAAATCCCAGACGCGTCACGTGTCGCACCCACGACGTGCACGCACGGAGACGCGAAGAAAGTAACATAACTTCGAACGGTAACGCGAAATAAACGCAAAGGGAAGAGAAACATTTCTGGCCACAGGTTATATTTTCGGTAAGGAATTTTTTTCTCGAAAATGGATAGGATTTCGGGGGTATGTCTATTCACCAAAAATGATTGTAATTGACCCCCCTAGATAAAAATAATTTTTTTAGAACGATTTGAAATTTTTTAATTTAGTGGAAAAATTTGCCCCTTCCTGAATTTTTTTCTCGAAAGCGCGTAGGAATTCGAGGTTACATCTATTGACCAAAAATGAGTATAATTGACCACCCTAGCTAAAAATAATTTTTCCAGAACGATATGAAATTTTTTAATTTCGTGGAAAAATTTGCCCCTTCCTGAATTTTTTTCTCGACAGTGGATAGGATTTCGGGGATATATCTATCGACCAAAAATGATTGTAATCGACCTTCGCAACTAAAAATAATTTTTTTAGAACGATTTGAAATTGTTTAATTTTATCGAAAAATGTTCAGTTCTGTATGGCAATCTGATTGGACCACAAAAGTCCATAAGGAGTAAAGGTTTACTCGTATACCTTGTGGTTCGACATTCCGAGAAAACTACAGTTTTCTCAGGTAAACTCTCGACCCCGCCGGAAGAGGTCCGCGGTTCTTCTCCCCCGTTTCTTTCACGCGGAGAGCATTAATCTTCGTAGCAGTGCATCAACCCGTCCGCCAAGTGAACCAAAGCGAATTCCTCGTTGTTAGCGGCTGCACACGCGCGACCGCGAGTTTGCGGGGGCGGTTTCGACGCGCGTTCGCTTCCATTAGAGTCGAGTTTGCGAGTAACTTACGATTTGTCCCGGGAAACCACCGGTCAACATCGTTCTGGATCACTGTATCCAACTGGTGAAATCGACTCCTACAATTCAGTTATTTGTCAAGCTCCCTTGAGTTCTAGATCCATCATCGATATTCCAATCATGGATCTGGCGTTACTCTGTTACCATTAGGTGCTATAAAAATCGTTTCTACTCTCGTAGTAATGGAGGCGTCGTAAACCAAAGGGTCCCACAGAACTCGTCATCACCAGGTTTCATTTGTAGTACCTAGCACCTGCTACGGTACTCGAGTCTACCGTTGGCTTCGTCTCGCGTCGTAATTAATTATTTCCTACCATCTAACAACTTAGCTATTTCGCTATTTCTGCTAGTTGATTTATGGCTGAAAGTATCAGCGAAGACCGAGCCCTAAAATAATAAAAATTATTGACGATTCGATCGATCGTCTCGCCTAGGTCGCGGAGCAATTCGAGGCTCGTTGATATCCGCGTCCGCGGGGCGGTCCGGTATAGGCGTTCTGGCGAGTAAAGGGGGAGATGGCGGGGGGCACAGGCTGAACCTTTGACCTTGGTACGAGCCACGACAAAGCTCTCTTCCTCTGTTATACGGTCCTCGGTTGCTCCAGGCTCGATGACCTCGAACCAAGGCTACAAAACGCCGCGGCGTAGACCATCCTCCGGAGGCCCGACGCTCCGTTATTGCATTACGTTAATTTCAACCGGGCAATCTCGCGTCATTTACCTGCTGCAGCAATTACCGAGGGTGTACGTACGTCGCACGACCCGGTACGTGCTCCCGGAGTCCCTCGATTCCCTGACCTGAGCGAAACGTCTTCCAAATAACGCCATCTTAACTACGTATTATGTTTTCCCAACTGGACAAGCCCGAGGTTGGATTTTAATCTGTTAATCCGGAACAAAATGCAGAGGTACCATTTTGAGTATTCTTAAGGGCAGAGCCTGTACAATTTAATTCTTTCAAACTGTATAATCCTTCGGAAACACGGACGAGACAGGCTGTTGGGCACACCGAGCGACCAAGATAAACTGTTTAGCCCCGTAATCTCTCGGTTCGCTAAACAAATATACAGGGTTATTCTAATAACTGGGCCACAAGACAGGCGAGAATTCTGGCGGAAAATTTCGCAAGTTGCACTGGTTCGTTTCACGGTGGAATGGTTCCTGGATAAAAATGGCGTCGCGAAAGAAGCGAGAAAAGGCGAATGGTCGATGGGAGCAACGGGGCGATCTCGAGGCTGGTTCACGTGGGTCTCCGGAGGATCGTGGCGAAATGTCGATCCTTACACGGGCAGCGTACTTCGGGCTGAATCGCTCAATCGACCCGTGGGGAAAAACGCGGACGCGGCGGAACGAGGAGGAAACGATCGATCGTAAATACGTTTCGTCGGGACGAGAGGCGGCTCGAGGCGCGGGGGGAACAACGGGGCGAAGAAATCGGGGAGGTGGCAGCTGTGGAAACGGGGCAAAAACCGAGGAAAAGAAGAGATCCAGGAAGCGGTCGGACGGTGAAACACGAGCAAAAGGCACGCGGGAAGACGGTGACTTGCGTGCTTCCAGCTTGCACGAGCGAATTACTTCGCTGGACGACGACGAGATCTCTCCAGCGACTTCCTCGTGATCGTCTTTTAGCACTTTCATGAACGGGGGGCTCGCACGATCGCGACGTCAAAGATTTATTCCGCCGTGGATTGATTCACGGACACCTTATGTGGCTCGCGTTAACGAGTTATGGCGAGCCTGTGCCCCCTCGTACGTTATTAATTCCGCGAAACGACTTTCGAAATCGAATCTGGGAAACAAACGCGTCCAAAAATGGCCGTGGCCATTTTCTTACGTACCGGTCATATTTTATTTCTGAATTGGGTTCACTGTGCTTGGGGGGACTTGTGAAAATATTTAAACTTCGTTATTATACTGTTACAGTATCTAAAATATAGAACACTAGCATATTATCGTATATGTTATTCCGTGGTAGGTGGGATGATAAAATAATAAATAACCCCTCGTACGTGCGCTGTTTCCTCACCGACACCATTTTCCTCGCGAGCCTTTGACTCGTAAAAGGGGGGAAAAATTGTTACCGAGGTAGTTAGGAAATAATGATAGTGATTTTCCGTTCTTCCTCCTAAAAGGTCAGTTTTTTCCAGAGCTAGTTTCTTCGCCCTGACACGTTCTCGGCTCGCGCGGATCTCCGGTTGAAAAACCGTTTTAGATGCGCGAACACATTTCATTACTCGTGCCGGTTACGCGCGCGTCAAGCGTGCGTGCACGCGGAATTCATTAAGGGGGTAGTCGAGCCACGGAATCTTAAATATCGACCTTTCTCTGACCTTACGTTTACCGGGAAGCAAATAACCGTAATCGGTTCGATGCTCCAATGTTTAATGGTCATTGAATTTAACCCCACCGCCCTGCAATTACGACTCTGAAAGTTTCACAATTATGAGACTAATGGTCATTGAGCAAATTTAAATAAAATTAAATAGTATACGGTTGAAAAATTACATTCAATCGTGCGTTAAGGGGTTAACGTTCATGAGTTCGAAAGTTATGTTGCTGTTTTATTTGAGAGATCATATTGGGAATGGGGATCGTAGGTCCACGATAATGGAATATAGCGCACGAGCGACCGTGGCGAAAGGGTTGTACGTAAGAATCGTGTCCAGGCGAGATCGAAGGACAACGAGGGGTCAGGCCGTATCTAATTAAGTTTCTAACCGAGATCCTTTGCTTCTGTTGCAGATGGGCTCGTCCGCGATCGGCACGATGGCGACCATAGCCGCGAGCGTGACGCTCCTGACCTTGGTCACCGTCTCTCAAGCTGCTCTGGGTGAGTACGATCCCTCGATGGACGACGACCAACGGAGAACAGCCTCCTCGAATCGACTTTCAAACAGTTGCAAAGCGAATCTCCTAGAGTGGCTGGGATGCTGATGATTTTTAAGGAACCTGGTGTTTCCCGTTTCAGCCAGGACGGCGTTCGAGAAGCTGACGGACTACGATTACCGCGGAACGACTTATTACAGCGTGAGGAACCTGTCGTTGTACGAGTGCCAGGGATGGTGCAGGGAGGAAGCGGAGTGTCAGGCAGCGGCGTTCTCGTTCGTGGTGAATCCTTTGGCGCCTATGCAGGACACCCTCTGCCAGCTCCAGAACGAGACAGCGGCCACGAATCCTGCTGCGCAGCCACAGAGGGCCGCGAACATGTACTACATGACGAAGCTTCAGATCAGATCGGGTGAGACCCGTCGAAACAACGTTGAGACGATAAAAAAGTCCAACAACGTAGGGTTAATATTTAAATTTCTTTAAAAACCCAACCTACCTATATATTTATCGCTCTCGAACGTCGGAATATTTCATGCCGCGCGCACGGGTGATTTCAATTATAAATTAATTGACCTGCCCGTCCAGGGAATGATTTATCAGTCCTCAAGGATATTGTCGTTGCATCCGTAGACTTTATAGACTCGATCGTAAATAAATTTTCGTCGCGATCGGAGTAATGGGTGTTAATGAATACACGATCAGCCCACGGAACTTCGTTATTGCGATATCGATCGCGAGATAGCGGGGGGGTTTTTTTCTTTTAAAGCGTAATTCCCGCGCACCTGTCCAGGATGGTTCGTCCTTCGAGGGCTCGAGCGGCCCCGGCATAATCGAGACACCAGCACGACTTCGTTAATGAACGTTAATACCCTCGCACCTCCCGCGTCCCCCCGTCGCAAACAGGACGGGAAACCCTTCCGTGGAACAATGGCGGGCGAAAGAAAAATCCCGCAATAAGCGGGAGGACCTTTGGGGGGAACGGGAAGGTGCGATAATCCAGGTTTAGACGCTGGTGGCGAAGTCGACCGGGGAGCAGGTAGATGTGCAAATAAACCGGAGAAGCCGGTAGCTTCTGGTAGAGAGGAAGGTTGTTTGACCACGTTGCATTGTGACCGAGTTTGATGATAACCTGCAAACAGCCCTTGAGTTTTCCCTCTCGAGTGGCCCGGGGAATTTCTATCTGCTCTTTGTAAGCCGCGAGAACTGGTTGGAAACTTGGAGAATATCGTCCTGTGTGTAGTTACGATTTATTTAACCCCTTCACGTGCATTAACGAGTCTGACTCGTGGCGAAGATTTTGGCCCAAACACGAATAATAACCAGAGTTCAATCAGAGAATAATAACAGAAAGGTGGCCCAAACGTAAACATCAGGAGCCACGATCGCGATTGAGTTTTAGTTCCCATAGGTACGGCACAAATGTCGGTCACGATTCTTATAATCTCTGTTGCAAAACAGTTTAGTATCAGTCTGGTCTGTTTACGAGAAGGGGTTAAGATTGCAAACTTTTCTCTGGCCTTCGAAGAATACAATTTATCAAGTTTGATATTCCAAATAGCCTTTCTCCCCGCAATTTCAACGTTCGTCGAGGGTCGTGGGTTAAGCAGGCGGGTCCTGGACGCTTGAAAATTCTCGAATCGACAAAGTGCCACCTTTTGTGACAAGTTTCGCGCGATGGCATCAGGCCTGGGCACAAAGAGGCCTCCGTTCCGAGGGGCAGATTTTCACGCGGACAAGAAAGTCTACAAATTTGCCAAGAAGGGGGGGACACCAGCGGGTTGGTGTCAAACAATGGGATCAGCTGGTACCTTTGAAACGGCGCGAGGGATGGTTTAAGCACGGTCGCCGGCGGTAAACAGGTATCTGCAGGCGTGTCGGAGGTGTCGAAAAGATCCCAAGGGGGTCTAAGAAACCCCTAATATTGGTTTAACGAGCCTACTGGTGCCTTCGACCCTTAGGAGTGTCTCGGGGCTGGTCGTAAAACCCGCTCGAACGGCCCACGAACACCTCCGGGGGACTCGTCGCCCCGAAACGACCGCGAAGGACTTCGAGGAAGATCTCCGTTTCCCTGAAAACGAGCGTTTGCCTCTCCGCCAGGCGCCTCCGGGACGTCCAGATGGGACACCGGTTTCGTTCCTCGAGTTTGGGACAATTAAAACGACGTGATTCGCGTTAGCCCCCCCGTCTCTTTCGTCACACCTGCTTGGCAGGGCAACAATTGCGTCTGGAAGTCACAGGATACTCGATTGGAGAGTCGATCAATTGTTTTGAGCAATATATGGCAGTCGAAGCAAGTTGCAATGGCGGATGGCAGCGGTGCAAACACTGAAAATCCTCCTTTTCTTAAAATAACCATCGGGAAACGATAGAGGCACCGTGATCGAGGTGCCGGCTCGTTAAGAATTCGCACGGGCAGAGACCGTTTAAAAGTTGGCTCGTCCCGAAATTTACGTAACCCAAACCCTCCCTCCTCCCCCCGTGGTTCCATCGTTTAATTTGAGAAATAAAACGGCCCGCGACGATGATTAATTTTAGCCTCGTTCCGCGTGAGTCACGGATGACAGGGTTCAAACGTCGGTTCACTGCCAACTAAAACATTTCCAGCGGAATCGCGAACCCCCCGCCGTCCCTCAGGATCGCCGTCGCGGACTCCAGGACGTCTAAGAATAGTCCCTGTCCGAGAGGAGCTGGTTTATTTTTGAAGACACCCGGTGCACGGTTCTCGAAACGCCTCTGGAGCCCGGACGAGTCTTCGAATCTTCGTCGTTTCGAGGGTTGCAGAGAATCTGCGGGGGAATTGTTCCCCGCGGAGGCGGATGCCAACGTTTTCGTGGCAAAATGGCCGGTGGCATTGTATCGGCGGGTATTTCGGTGGTCGTCAATCCGTCGGGCGCGATCAGGAATTCGCACGGTCGCGGTGAATCATCCGTGTCGTAGTCACGCGTCGGTTCGTTGGCACCGTCCCGTTCCTCGTCGTCGACATTAGCGCCGGTTTCGAGGGCGGAACAAAAGAAATTGGAGCGCGCGACGAAATATACGATCTGCTAAAATTTCGGCACCTATGGCGCGGCCAAGGACGCCGCCCCTGCTCGGAACAAAGTAATAATAAATTCATTCGGGGGCTCGAAGCTGACGAAAGCTACTCAGCAAACTTTCAACGTGTCAATAAACTAAAAAAATTAAACTTCGAAGAATCCGTTTTTAAAGTTCAAGATGGGGGTGTCAAGTATTTGTATCGTGCAAAATTCTTATTCTTCTTGTTATTCTGTAGAAGAGGCTGATAAAGTTGCTCGAAAGTTTTTGAGGAATTTTGTGTTATTTCGGCGAACGGCGGTCCAAGGTTTGGGGCGTAAATTTTACCGCGGCCTGTACGATCCCGTTCCTCTGCCAAAAAGTCGTGCGTCATAGATCGGATCTAGCGGCGGCGGTCGATCACGGGGGGATGCCAAGTCACATGGCCCGGGTCCGCTCGTGATTTCGGCATCGACTCGAGCCGTTTTCCCCGTGCACGTCCCGCGTTGCGTTCGCGTGACCGACCAACCGTGGTATTCGCCACACTTCCTCGGATATCTGCCGGATATATAACTGTTTCTCGATCGTCGAGATCCGTGCCTCGGCCGTATCGCGAATGCTGACCTTCTTTTTTCGTCTTTCACGCCGCCATGGCCACCGATACCTCCCATTTATCCCCGGGGAGCCGACGAACGCCATTAACCACGCGTTACGAGTCGAATCAAACCCCCTGCCCGAGATCGATCTTGACAATAAAATTCCAACTATCGCTGGGGAACTCCATTCTGCTCGATCTATGCACCAAACTTATTAAAATCACAACGCGAGATTTTCGAAGCCTTTAAATTCGTTAGAATAGCAGTACGGATGATAATGTTATTAGCTTCCTGCGATCTACCTGCGTTTTGAGATATCAAACTGTTACACCAGCGTTCTAGCCCGATAAGATCGGATTCCAAGATCTAATATCGCGAACAAAGAACTATTTATTCTAGAAATTTCAATAACTATTTAACTACAAATATTTCCACGCATTCCCGCGTTATCCGATGTTAAATAGTTTCGAGGAGCACCGTGCGATCAGCTTTATCAAACGCCTTTGTAAAATCACTAGAGATAGCATCTGCGTAATATCCTTAATCTAAAGATACGTAATGGGAAAACAATGCGAGTTTCGAGGCTGCTGATCTACTAGTAACAAAGCCACGTTGTTCGTCGCGTGCTACATTCGATAGACAAGACACTTTGCGAGCGCATATGTGTGCCTTTAGATTCCTCGGGCGTTTGAAATTTTATTTACGCTTGGAATAAAAATTCGATTCGATTCTACGTTGGTACGAGTAAAAGAAGGAACGATCTTGTATACTACCGTTGAATCGCGATAGTTGGATTGTCCCCGTCCCTCGAAAGACATTTTGATTACTGGATATGGTCGACCATGCGAGGCAAATGGGTTGAAGCATGTACCTTGCCATCTATTGGCTTCTCCGGGCTGAACAAATATGCGATGATATTCGATCTTAGACGTAAGCTTATTAACCGGTAGACCGTGCAATCGTAACAGCCCACGTGCACGTTTTACACGCGAATAAACAGTGTTTAACGAATCTTGGCTGCAAATATCATAGTTTGTAGTAATTTAAGCACCGCGAATGGTGCAAAATTCATTGATATTCACCTCTGCGTCGAATAATATTGAAAAGCATAAATTAGCAAAAATAAAAATTCTTTTCGAGGATCGAGAATCAATCCTTACGTTTCTAGATACGATGGGATAAATAGAAACGAGGTTACGAAGAGCGATAAATAGTAAGTTCTTTGGTTACGCGATGAATAATGGCGTTGCTGTTCTCCTATAATAGAATTGCACATAATGCATGCCTCAGTGCCTCTGATAATCCGGAAAGTAAGTCGATTTTATCGCAAAATGAGTTAGCCGCGTTGCCAATGCGATTAAACAGCTGAAATTACGATAGAGCGCACGGTGGTGCGTATCGGTACGGAATAGTTGCGGAAATTTCTGACGTGCATACTGAAATTTATGCGATGTTAAATATAGGAGGAATTCAGGGCTTTAAATAACAAACGCAAAGTCGTAAATTACTAATAAATATAAAGTTTTATTTCTAAATAATTAAGGGTCGAGCGATCCGTTCGCCCACGTCCAAGGTACGCCATTGTTGGCTCGAGACGTTGATGGGTAAAGATGCTGGGAGCAACAAGGAATATGTTTATCGTCTAGATGCCAAATTGCACGGCAACGACACCGACGGTTGTATCGAATATCTCGAGCGTGCTGGCACAGGTGTTGGCGTCTGAAATTCATATCGCATAAATAAGTATTACGTAACCGAATGCACTCCCTGCAGCATGTGCACGGTTCGTCAGGTGTGCAACCGTCGCGTCTTGCGGTCAGGCGTATCCACGTGTCCCTGCCTCTCTGTAAACAAAAATCCCTCGCGCGTCATAAAATTATACAACACGACGAGGTGGTCGGTTCAATTAATTTTAGAGGATCGAATCGCCTCAATCAAATCTCCCAATCCATTCCCAGATATTTCGTCAGGTAGCAAGAATGGTCATAAAATAAATTTGCATCGAAAGAATATTATTTTCGACCATTTGTCAACGTAGTTTCGGGGGTCGTTTTTCAGAGAACGTTTGCCTGCGTCCGTGGTCCTTCGAGCGGGTCCCGAACAAGATGATCCGTGGCCTGGACAACGCGTTGATTTACACGTCGACGAAGGAGGCCTGTCTCGCTGCTTGTCTGAACGAGCACCGTTTCACCTGCCGTTCCGTCGAGTACAATTACGTAACCCTGCAGTGTCACCTGAGCGACTCTGATCGAAGAACCACCGGCCAGTACGTGCAGTTCGTGGACGCCCAGGGCGTCGATTACTTCGAAAATCTCTGTCTGAAAGGTATGAAGTACAAACAGGAATCGGAATCTCTTAATTTTTAATGCGATCGTCCAACGATCGAAGGTATCCAAGGACGAGAGATGGCCAGAGGCGCTGTAAGGGGTAAAATCTTTCAGGAAAAGAGGCGTGCAAGTCTCAGAGGATCTTCCAGATGCCTAGGATCGGCGTGGCTGATGACAAGGTTGCGCAATACGCGGGTTTGCACTACTACACCGACAAGGAGCTCCAGGTTCAGAGCGAGTCAGCGTGCAGATTGGCCTGCGAGATCGAGAACGAGTTCCTCTGCAGATCCTTCCTCTATCGCGGCGCCCCTCAGGGATCGGCTTACAACTGCCAGCTGTTCCACCTGGATCACTGGACTCTCCCCGACGGGCCCTCCACGTACCTAAACGCCGAACGTCCTTTGATCGACAACGGGGAGCGGGTTGGAACTTACTTCGAGAACTACTGCGAAAGTAAGGACCCCCAAAACTTCGTAAATCTCTCGTTCTGACCAGCGTTGGGGTAACTAATATTCGTTTGCAGAGGGTTCGGGGCCCATCGCCGATCCGCTTCCGATCGTCTTCGAGACTACTGAGGACTCCACGATCAACAACCTCACGAGAAACGACATCAATTGCGACAAGACCGGCACCTGCTACGATGGTACGTTCGCTAGATAGCATCAGGTTGACGTTTAGCGGGTAGATCGTAACAGGGCGTTGTTACAGTGTCTGTGGACTGCAAGGACACGCGTATCGCGGTTCAGGTACGCACGAACAAGCCCTTCAATGGCCGGATCTACGCCCTCGGGCGATCGGAGACCTGCAACATCGACGTGATCAACAGCGATCTCTTCAGGCTCGATCTGACCATGAGCGGGCAGGACTGCAACACTCAGAGCGTGGTAAGCGATCCTCAGAGCCGTTCGTACCATGTTCCATTCCACGATCGTCCACTCGACACCTCGACTCTCCGTTGAAACTCTTTGTTTACCATAGCAGCGTGACGGTTTTCAGACTGGGATCTACTCGAACACCGTCGTCCTGCAGCACCATTCCGTGGTGATGACCAAGGCCGACAAGATCTACAAGGTGAAGTGCACCTACGACATGTCCTCCAAGAACATCACCTTTGGGATGATGCCGATCAGGGACCCGGAAATGATCAGCATCACCAGCGCGCCGGAAGCCCCTCCTCCGAGGATCCGCATCCTCGACAGCAGGTCCAGGGAGGTCGAGACTGTACGCATCGGAGACAAGCTCACCTTCAGAATCGAAATCCCGGAAGACAGTGAGTATTTATTTTCAGACGATATGAAGAGGAAGGAAAGGGTGAAACGTGGAGGATCCAATGTGAACGCTTAAATTAACTTACCTTCCTTCTCCATATTGATTTCTCGCGTCATCGAAGGAATAATAACAATTATCTGCTCGATCCCTAGCTCCTTATGGCATCTTCGCTCGCAGCTGCGTGGCCATGGCAAAGGACTCGAAGAGCACGTTCCAGATCATCGACGACGAAGGGTCAGTGACTTATTTTAGGCAAACTACAGCGATTCAGAATAAATAAATAACGATTGAATGTTCAGATGCCCGGTCGATCCATCGATCTTCCCCAGCTTCACGCCAGACGGAAACGCTCTGCAGTCTGTGTACGAGGCGTTCAGATTCACCGAATCCTACGGGGTGATCTTCCAGTGCAACGTTAAATACTGTCTGGGACCTTGCGAGCCGGTAATCCAACGAATTTGATACAGAGAATCGTCATGAATTTTTATTTCTTTGGCAAGATACGAAGGGATGGGTTGATTCCAGGCTGTATGCGAATGGGGTCGCGAATCCGTGGAGTCGTGGGGCAAGAGGCGTCGAAGGAGCCTCGCGAACGCCACGGAGGAGAAGTCGGAGGACATGACGCTGTCGCAGGAGATCCTGGTCCTCGACTTTGGCGACGAGAAGCAGTCGGAGTTCTTGAAGAGCGACGCGAGCATAGACTTCAACGAAGCAGGTAGTTACAAAGATAACACAGAATCGATCAGTACTCGAGCAATCAAAATGACCCCTGGACAACTTCTGTTCCTCCAGATATTTTTCACCTAAGTTTTTTCGTATGTTACGAAATCTGTTGCAGACAAAACGGTGACCATAGTGGAGCCCTGTCCGACCAAGACTTCGGTGCTGGTGTTGGGCGTGACGTGCGCCCTGCTGGTTCTGATCTACATCTCCACGATCTTTTGCTACTACATGAAGAAGTGGCTGTCGCCTCGTAAAATGATGCCGTGAAACCTCGGCTCGGGTACCTCGGGGACGGGTGGTGGGAGGAGGAGGGGGAGGAGCGCGATGGAAAAGAACCTCCGTGTAAAGTGCTAATTCGCCGACTCGCGTGACGCTTTTGTACGCGTTGCGAGACCACTCGCGTTAACCGACCGACCCGGGGAAACACACGCGTTCGCGTGGAAAAATCGCAGGACCCGGTTCCCGGTGGATTTTTCCGCGCGAACGACCTCGCGCGTTCTGCCCCTTCGAACGCAACGATTTCGGGTTGGGTAATCGTCGCGTTTCGAAACGCGTGCAACGCGCGTAGCAATTCGTTCGTTAAATTTTTACAAGGAGAGAAAAGAAATACGGAAAAAACGGCGCACGTTTTGGGTAAGTCGCAAGAGTCGCTTGTGCAACGCTCTCGAGGAGACGTGTTTTCATCGATGATATTAAAGACGGCACTCATTATAGAACACTTTAAATATAATTTCACGCGGACATGCGACCATCAATGGTCGCGGGTGATCACGAGGCTTGCTTGATTGAGCAACGCCTCGCGACGGGGGAAATAGTTTTAAAACGCGTTTACGGCCGAGGATCGACCACGTGGAAGGTGGATAAATGGTTAATGCACACGGTCGGTTTCAGATAATCTTTTACAGGACGGAGCTCTACGCTTTACGCATTTCTACGTCCGATTCATTCCATTCCTTTATACATAATATTTATCGCGCATATCGGATCTTATAGATCGCATAATGGGACGAAGATCGCAGGGATCTTGCGTGCAATATTTCGTGGCGAGTCGAGGAACACGAGTCTTCGCGAGGACGACAGGAAACGATCGAAGGCTTGACGCGTGATCGTTCGTCGTCCGGCCGAACGAGAGAATTTGTTCCTCGATCCGCGGATTATTAAGTTCTTGTCTCCACAAGACGACCAGGGACACCCTGACGACAAACGTTGTAATAAGTACACTTTATTTAAGGTCATCTTAGACACAGCTAACCGTCTTATCCCTCAAGGGCTATTTCTGATCGGGTTGCAAAGAGTATTTAGCAAACCGACGACTTCGCGGTGAACGGGGAACGCACGACACGGCCCTGGCCACCTTTTCGTTTCACGGAAATCGACTTGTAACCCGTATCAAGACTAGCGATATTTAAAGGTTCACGCTTCACTAACGTCTCTAACGATACAACGTAGCGTTTAAGGTAGGAACTAAGCGGAGCATGTAAGCATAGATAAAAGGAGAACGACGGGAACGAGCGAAAGAGGGAGAGCATTTCCCGATCGGGCGACGAGCAGTCTCGATCCAGAGGCGACCGGTGCTTTTATCGAACGTTCGTAAAGCCTCGCTTACGACGAACGGATTCGATCATTTCGCAGATACGAGGCGCAAAGTCCAACCGAGAGATATCCGCGACTGAAACAACGCTGGAAGGTTAACGCGCCAACTCTACCATGAATTGACCGCGAAATTGAAATCGGTGAAAGTGCCAGTCGCTCGACTATGGCTGCCAGAAAAGTCTCCCTTTCGCGACTCTTTGATGCTAGAGTACTTCGATTCACGATATCGAGCCGCGAACGCAAACAACTCCAAACGGTATTCGATCCCTCGATCGGCGACGTCGAAATGACGCGTCTTAGACCAATACCTTTATCCTGTGTCCGACTGAATACTTTCTGCAACAGTAGCTGTTTGCAATTTAAGAAAATGAATAGATCTCTGCGTCGAATCGGCGGGATGTCGTCGATCGAAGGTTGAATCCACTTCACATCGTTCTGTTCGAGGTCCTCGTTTGATCATCGATGTTGAATCGAAGTACGAGAAAGGAGCTGCGGTCAGGAACACGACTATAAATTACGCAAACTGTGTTGGTCGCTTTATTTCTACGAGTGTAGCTATCATCTACTTAATTAACCCTCGCATAGGCGAAGACTGGGCCTTTCCGGACCCACCCTTAACGTTCGAAACGAGTGAAATTTAGAATAATATAGACCAGCGAAGCAAACTTTCACAGTCTCGGTAAATATCATTGCAATAGCCATAAAATTCTTTAATTTCTGCGAAAGATAGGATCTATAAAGTCTCAGTCTGAGCCCTCAGCGATCCGGCGTCCAAGGGTTAACGCGTCGAGTGCCATTAAAACTAATTACACCATTGAAAATATTAAATATTTTTAATATTGCACTCGTCGCGTTAAACGGATGAAAAGGAAGCAATATTATGGAATAAATCTAGACATTTTCCCGTCGAACGTGCCTAACTGCATACTTTGACACGGCGATTAAAGTGGATTTCGGAAAGAGCCACCCCGTCGAGGGTAGAAACGAACAAAGCAAGTGTATATATATTATTGGATCGTAGTATTGAAACGGAGACACGCATACACGCATCAATATCACATGTATTTGTACTCTATTTAAGTACGCGAATGTTTTAATAATTAAACGAAGAACAATTTCGAGAGTGCTTTCCTCCCTTTTCTTCTTTTCCTCGGACACAGCTCTATCCGGCTGTGTTGTTGCACGAACGTCATCGGCTCGTGATTAATCGAACCGCGCGTGCAATCGCGCGTTAAGGATGCACGTGTGAGTGAATTTATTATTGCGACAAGTATTAATATGAATCACTTGATGCACGGCTTACTTAGTAGAGAGAACAGTCAGTTGATATTGGATACAAATAATTGCAGCAACGTCGTTTTAAAAATAGTCGTCTGGTTGCATACGACGTCCGAAAATATACTCTTTCGAGCCCGTCTTAATCATCGTCGTAAAAACATCGATCGGATCGATAAAGATAAACGTGTGTTTGCTCGAAATATACGAGACCGATAAAAAAGAAAAGGAATCGAGTTGCAATCGACGCGTGACTCGACGATGCATTCCGGATTTCTGGGGAACCGTGTATCGGCGACGAGTCATCAAGCTTTTAACGAGGTCTCAAAGGCTGGCAATAATCGATAAGAAATTTAACGAGCTTAACTTCTCTCGACCCACGAAGACAACGGTTATCTAGACGATAAATATTTTCAAGCATTCGTCAAAGGAGGTTTCGCAACAGCGATGAAACGACCGCGGGCGAATATCTTTGGCCGCGTTTCATTTCAGTCCGCGTGTCTAGACTAATTTCTTATTCGATGCAACCTTCGCGATTCGAGGAAACCGCGTATCTGTTCGACGGAATCGTGGTCATTTTACGTCTCCATCTTTATTTTGACCGAGACAGGGGTCAACGTCACGCGATAAAAATATTACCAACGATCAAGCACGATCATTAATCTCGTTTCTCGTTTCTTTTTTAACATTCGTAACTATCGTTCTAACGAGGAATAATTCGCATGAATATTCAACGCGACCGGGAGTTACATAAATCAATAGCGTCGATGAATCGCGGGAAGAAAAAAAGTTGGATCAGAAATAGCGTTCGAGCGTCGATAAAGCGAGTCGCGGATAACACCACGGCTTTTTAGCGGCCCTTTAATTTTTTACCGCTCGGTCGATAAAGCGAATCGCGGCCGCCGGCGTGTACGTCGAGGTCAGACGCTAGACCCGTAACGATTTCGTGCTCGGATTCAAGGTTTCCGCGTTAAACGAGACACGGCACGATGTTAGCAGTCGTTTCGGAGTCATCGTCATCTGCGTCGTCGTTGTCTTTCGTCGTCGTCGTGCCAAAGGCGAACGCATGGCAACCTCGTCAACCTCGATACGCCTTCGCCAATGATAAGATAAAAAGGTTAGCTTGTGTATGTTCTCTGGTAGAGACGCGACGTGGGCGTTGTTGCCTTTCGCTTTGCTGGTGTGCACTTCGTTCCTCGCGTTCGTTCGCGATAACGTTTCTTCTGTTTCTACGCCTTCTTTACCCCTTCTTTCCCCCCCTGCGTTCAGTATCGCGAAAGAAACGCTCGAAGGGGCGATCGCCACAGCCACGGGAATCGAACGAAATTTCGGTGGAACGAACCGTTTCGTGCTGCGAGGTTAGCCACGAGCTCGCAGGTATGCGCAGGTATGCGCGAGTAGGCGCCATCGTGCGACCGCCCACGGAGAAGGTATATTTCTGTATTCGTACGTGGGCAAACGAGCGATGCGACCAACTGTGACGCTTAACCTACGTATATTGCACGATCGGGACTGAGTCGGGTCTCTGGTCTGTCTCCTAAAATTTTTAAACGATCGCGGCGTAGCGTGCAACCACAAAGGAGTCGCTAATCTACGCGTCGATGAAACAACGATACGAAATTTTAATCGTTCGTTTTAATTCGTGTAGCAACCGGTCCGCTTGGGTCGGTGGACGTTTAAAAGTCAGCGTGATACCAGAATCCTTACGCAGCCGCTGATCCGCTACTGTTTATGCATGCGATTAGTTTTGAAACTGTACAGGCACACACGCACAGGAACGTGTGCAATGCGAACACTACCACGCACCAACGGGGCTGTGTACGTGCGCTGGTGCACGTGTGGCGCTCTCCCAGTTAGCATGTACGTAAATAAACTTAGGTTATAAACTCGAGCCTACGATTTCAGCGAGCGTGGCTGTTTACTACGAACAAAAGGATACCCATCTTTCCCGTGGCGGCCACGAAGCACCGCGTTGCGATCTCTTGTTTCTCTGAATTTATTTTTTAGGTTAGAATAGCATATGGTAGAATTTCGATCGAACGTACAAACGTACCCATGGATACGATTCGATTGGCCGTAACGGTAAGCATAAAGTGCACCGTTTGAAGCAATTCGGTGACTACATATGTATATCGTTTAGCGAACGAAAATATAGACGCGAATAAAGTGTGTTCCGTTCGAGTGCAGTAATAAAGCAAGCTTTGACAGACGTATGGTCGGATGGGACGCGCATGGCAAACCTATAGCGCGGTTTGGACAGGAGCCAACTGCACGAAAACTTGAACAATTTCAGTCCCAGTCCCGACAAGATTCGATCAATCGCCCCCACAAAGCGAGCATAGCAGGCGACTGGCTGTCTCGCGCGGCGAAGGAACCCTCGAACGTTGGCTTCCATGCTGGAAAGAAGTTTTAAACTCGAGACGGAAAAGGACGGCTAGAAGGACCGTCTAATGCACTTTTTTGCCAGGAATCACGCCCGCTGACGGCCCTTTTCTTTCACGCTCGCATTCTCACGTGGCTCTTACCGCACCGAGTAAGGTAGGTAAGGGCCACAAGTAGTACGGCATAGGACTTAAAGGTGAGGTGTCGCAAGTCGTGGGCTCCGGTAAATAGGAGCACGGTGTCTCGCTCGCACTCGTACGGCCCCGACTCCGTCCCTCGACTTTACGCGTCGTACCCCGGCGCACAAATACGTGAAAAGAGAGCAAGGAAAGCGAAGGCTACGAAGCCGAAACGAACGAACAAGAAGGAGAAAGAGAATGGTCGGCATACATCATTTGGGCGCCGAGAAGTCTGGCGCGACCAGGCCAAGCCGAGCCAGGCCAGGCCAGAGGCGCGTCTCTGGTTACGCGACCATTTGGGGCGCCAACCATGGAACGCCGGGACGTGGAGTGGAGCGGAGTGAGGCACAGATAGAAGGGAAAACCATAGGAGGGCAAAGAGAGACGGAAAGAGGGATCTACGGTGAGACGTATGTAGGTAGGCGTCCGAGGCATCGTTGAGCGAAACGGGGAATCGCGTAGGGTGGTGTAGAGGAAGGAAAGGTGAAAGAGAGGGAGGGAGGGTGGGGCGGGAGGGGAGGGAGAGATCAACGAAGGGGCCCCTGCAGCTACATTCCAGCAGGACGCGAGTTTTCAAACATGGCTACCCACGTGAATGTAGGTCCACGACCGATCCTATGACACGCACACAATCAGCCTTACGAGCTACAAGATCTCTGCTCGAACGATTTCCTCCCATAGCGCGCTCTTTCCCCCTAACGTCTGCACCGTCGCACGCTTGTACAGCACACCAACCCACGGAATCCCCTTGCCCCTTTACACCATCGGGTTCTTGGTCTCCTCTCCCCCCGCGGCAACCCGGACGGCCTGGCCGACCGAGCTGGCGACACCCTGTCTGGCAAGACCGGCCGGCGGACAAAGGAGGGGGAGCCTGGTCGCTGCGTTGCCACGTCCTCGGACTTCGGGCTGCGCCTACCTTCGGCCCCAAGGACAAATCCGATGAACGTGCCAGCCGTCGTGGCGTACTTAGGCGACTGCCGGTCTGCTATCGCCGCGACGCTTTCCACACACGATATGCTTCGTACCGATATTATTCCCGACCGCTACCGTTACCTCCCCCGTGCTCCCGTTTACGCGAAACTCCGATAACGATCGTATAGGATCGGTAGCGATCGATCGTTACGTAACTCGGACGACGTACGTAAAAGTTGAAACGAAACCCGACTGTTTTGAACGGAGGCGCGAAATGCCTGAACGATGAGTCGCGTCTATAGAACTATGCGAAGGTCGAATCGTGCTCGGAGGCAGGTACCTCTCATCGCGATATTGCTGGTCGCGTCGGATGTGTTTAGAAGGGACTCGAGAGTCGGCGTGATCGACAGAGCGAGAATAGCCAGCGAGATTCTTAGAAATGCAGTAGGGTGCTCCTTCGAGGAACCGCAGGGGAATCGGTCGGGTCTCGCCGTTTCTGCTGGTGGCGCGAATCGTGGAAATTTACGAGGCCTCGCTCGTTTCTTTTTACACCGACCTATCTCGCTCGCTCCCGTTCGTCAAAGTATGTACTAACGCACGGTTTGCGTCATTGCTCGCAGGTCTCTCCGCGTCCGTATACACACACGCCTGGCGGCCTACGTGCGAGCCGAGCGAGCGACATGGCAACCGCGCGAAAAGCTAAACATATTAACTGTCGGCTCACGCCACAAAAACAACATGATCTCATTCCACGACGTATATGCAAGAAACTCGCGATTCGCATGCACGGCTGGAAACCTCATCCACCGATAACTCCGAGGGGATAGGCACCAGGCGGCCGGCGCAAGAAGCGAAAATAAGAGAGTGCACGGAAAGTAAAGAGAATAACTGACCAGCGATGACTCGTAACGGTAAGCCGGCAGAATGCTGGTAATAACCGGTAAGAACAATGCAGATCGCATTACCCTACCGAGTTATAATAGGTACGACTCCAACCCTAACGAGACTACCATTACCGGTAAGCCGACACGGCTACGGCCGTTTTTCCTGGAAGGCGAAATCCCCTCGCCCGCCCGGCCTTTTCCCCCTTATTCGAGTGCCAATAAAACTTCCTAGACGACAGTCGTCGGTGTTGGCGCTCGGTACGGCGAGCTTTCAAGAATCGTATACCGTATGCGAAGCCTGACGTAGGTCTTCAACGATTTAACCTAGATAACGCGCCTAATCTCGGCAAACGAGAAAACATCGTAACCCGAGCCCGTGCCGCGAACTATTCTTACGATTACTCTTTCGATCGCGATTGCGACAAAATTTGCTTAGCATATGCGAACGGCGGAGCTGCTGCGAGGAGGCGAGAATAAGGCACGGCCGTGCCGAGGAGAAAGGCGAGCAAAAATCGAGGCTCCATGCTGGCTGGTACGGCTCGCAGCAGCAGCACCGAGAAGCGAACGGGCAGGCAGACAGGCAGTCGGACGAGCACGGCAGACAACATGGCGCCGAGAGCGTCGTCACGCCGGCGTGACGTTTCCCGCGCGCGTCATTAACGGAAGTGAGCACACAAAATGGCGGAGTTTTACGGCGCTGAGGTGTGAAAGGGAGGCTCTCCACCGCGGACAGAGAGAGTGAGAAAAGAGTCGGGGGGGTGGGGAGGCGTGGGGCGCCTACGTGCACGGGTAGTCAGGCGGGATGACGAGAACGTAGAAAGAGAGGAGTTGGTAGTTGGTGGAGGTTAGGTCGGTTAGGCGTAAAGAAAGAAGAATGACTGGTGGCCGGCGGCGGTGGACTCTAGCGCCTGTGCTGCCCGAGTGGGATGTTGGGTATGCGCGAGGGCCGTTTGCTGGATAGAGAGAGAAAAGGATAGAACGTTGGGAGTAGTGGAGGGGGTAGCACGATGAGAGACCGCGAGTGCGGCAAAGAGACGCGCGAGGCGTCGAGGGGCTTCTAGAAGAAGCGAGAGGTAACGTTGGCGCGAGAGAGCGCGGTCCGAGCGCGGAGGGAAAGGTGGGGAAGGGAAAGAGACTGCTCAGTGGGAAGCAGCCGCAGTCCTCGCCCAGTGGTGGGGATGAAAATTAGTTACGGCATCCACCAAGAGACCTAAAAGGAACTCCGTGCGCGGCGCGGCCAGGCAAGCACTTCGTGCAATGTTACGCGTTAAGGTACCCCCGTGCGTCGTTGGCAGTGCCCGGTTACGAAGTTCATCGTCGTTATTGTCGCCGTCGTTCTCGTCCCCGGTGTTTGACGCGTGACGGTCATCGACGTCACGCTGAGAAAAAAAAAAAAGTTCTGTTCGTTCGGTGGGTGCGTGAAACGACACGTTATGGCTCACGGTGTGAGCGAAGTGCTCAGTGAGGGGAACTCGGTGAAAATGGTGCATCAGAAGCAGCAGTCGGTGGTGCATCAGCCGCCGCAACAACAACAACAACAACAAAACGGGACGAGGAAATCGGTCGGAGTGATGGGCAGCAGACGCATATTCGCGCCGGCCTTCAAGCTCAAGGTTCTCGATTCCTACAGAAATGACATCGACTGTCGCGGCAATCAGCGGGCCACCGCGCGTAAATACGGTATCCATCGCCGTCAGATACAAAAGTGGTTACAGTGCGAGGATAATCTGAGAAACAGTTGCGCCGAGAGTGGAAACACGGGAGTCGTGTCGTCGTCGGTGATTCCTCCTTCCGCGGGTGTTTCCAAGCCGGACGGTACCGTGACGGAAGCCACGGGGCTTGCCGTGACTCCAGCAGCGCCGGCCTTGAACCTCAGCCTCGCCAGACTGCACGGCGACGAGCTGGCTACACAGCAAGGGCCCCCACCTCTTCTTCCTCATCCTCCTCATGGTGGTTCACCCTCTTCGCCCCAATATGCCGGTCAATCCACCACGGTCGCCTCGGTTTTGCCCGTTCGGATCGGTTATCAAGAGTACTCCGGTAATCAGGAGTCGCCGGCGCATCACCTTCGTCGCGAGGTGGACGATCGCGCCCAGATAACGGACTCTGTTCGCGATTACGCGGAAACACGTGCGGATCAGGAACAGCAGGCGAGCTACTACGTTCTGAACGCGGACGGTCAACGGGAGATCGAGACCACCGCGTCGTTCGACGGTCGAAACGAGGCGAAGGTGTACCAAACGCTCACGAGTTATCGCGTGTCCCCTCATCAGGCGCACCGGTACAAGGAGAACGAAATAATCGGTGCGATGGTTCATCACCAGCAGCACTCGAATCGTCATCGATCGCAGCAGAGTTACGGGGACGTGGATTCCTCCGTGGACGGGAAATCGTCGTACGGTTTGCTACTAGCGCCGTCGATGATAAAGACGGAACGAGCGAGCCCAGACTCGGCGGCGACGCCAGGGCCGTGCGAGTCTACGTGTTCGCCCGGTGCCACCAGGGTCCCACTCTCGCCCGATTCGCATCGCGCAACCAGCACCACCAGCACCAGCTCCACGATGTCCGTTCACTTCGATTCCCCGCGGCCGTCCGCGAGTCCCTGTTCGCGCGTGCACGTGCACGAACACGAACACGAACACGAACTCGCACACGCGTCACCGACACCGGATTCCGAGAAGCCGATCCGACAGTCCACGGAGACAACGGCCCATATCGAAGAGAAGGGAACGGCGGAGGAGCAGGAGGTTGCAGAGGAGGCGGCAGAAATCGGCAGGGCGGTGGTCAAGGAAGAATTGCACATAGAGGAGGAGGAGACGATCGACGAGGGAAGAGAGGCCGACGCATCCTCGTACGTCGATTATCAACGACCACCTGCCGACCTGCGTCCGGCGAGCCCGGCTCACGATCGAGAAGGATACTCCTTGCCCTCGAGCCCTCGTGGGCCCGCCAGTTCCGGGAGATCCAGCACCAGTTGCTCGGACAGCGAGATGGACCCTCTCGATTGCTCTTCCGGCGGACACAATTCGTCCAACGATCTCGCTCGTCGACGGTCCTTCTCGCTGCGCTTCAAGCTCGACGTGCTCGACGCTTTTCACAGGGACGTAGGCGTGGCGGGCAATCAGCGCGCCACCGCGCGAAAGTTCGGCATAAATCGACGACAGGTACAGAAATGGCTGGGCCAGGAGACGGAGCTACGCGGCGAGATCGCCGTGCGCGGGAACTCGCGGCAACGGCTGGGCCCCATCCAGGATGCCGCTTCCGGTGAGTCACCGGTGGACCTGAGGACGTCGAATTACGTTTCCAGCATGTCCCACGATCGGATCGAGCCCGAGTACAACCTATCGCCACCGCCTCTTTACTGTTGCGACGTGGGTTCCTCCTCCTCGCAGCATCTTCCGTACTACCACCACTCGATCGTCGTCGACCCGTCCTCGGAGAGCGAGCCAGCTACTTCTTGCAATCTCTCCTGCTGCATGGACATCCACGCGACGACACCGGCGTCCTCGTGCTACCAGGAAACGTCCTTAAGAGGATCTTGCTACTCGGAGCCGCAGAACAGGCTGTACTGTTATTCCCCCAGAGAGTACTCGTCCGAGATCGCCTCCGTGGAGGAATTCACGACCTCCAAGAGACCGCACTGCACGCTGTCGTGCTGCTACGAGCCTCTGTCCTCGCCGAAGAGGCTCTGCTTGGAACAGGACGAACCCATGGCGACCAGTCCCGTCTGCCAGGAACCGCCGCCCCAGGACACGCCGCTGTGCCTCGTGAAACCGAAGAGGCTCCACGACGGTGACCCCTCGAGAACGGAACCGGTGACCAGCACTGTCCCGACGCCGCCGGCATCCGCCGCGCCCCCGCCCCCGGGACCAACATCCAAGAAGGACGCCATCCTTTTCAAACCGTACCTGGACAATCCCGTGAGCAAGCCCGCCAAGGAGCACGCGATCCAGAGGGGTCTATCGCCCCTCAGCAGCCAGAACGTGATCAACAACAACAACAACAACTGCCAAAGCATCTGCAATCTGAACGAAGGCAGGGGCCACGATTACGCCCTCGAGCTTAGTTTAAGACTGCCGGTATCCTGGAGGACTCATCCGAGTTCGTACACCGAGTTCCCGCAGGTCAGGAGCGCGTTCGTTAGGTATCCAGCGAGTCCTCATTACAGTTAATTCGAGAACAGTCGAATCGATCCTCGACGCGGCGGAACGGAAATCGCGGTATCGATTTTGTAATAAACAAATTATTTTCTTTTTTTTAAGATCTACGGAACGCATACTAATTTAGATACTGGACGAGAAACAGGATTCGAAAGGATTCGGTCGATACGTGATTCGCGGCACATCGCGCGCCACGTAAGCAGCTTTTTTTTTTTATCGTTTCGATGCCACGTTACACATCGCGATAAAGTCTTAATCGGCCGGCCATTGGTCGATCCGTGGACGTGGTAGGAGATTATGGACACCGCGTCGCGTCCTCGCACGGCGTGTTTTCCCTGCTCGTCCAGACCGTAGATCTCTTCCCCTCCACGAAAATCCGCGCTGATATCCGGCGAGACTCTTTTTTTCGCGCTATCCTATCGCCGAGATTACCGTTCAGCTCCTATCGGCTGGGCCGTTTAGAGGTCGCGTAGATTCTCGTTATTATTACGGAATTATGTCAGCAGCGACGGTAGATACCGATCGCGAGGAAAAACTCTCCCGCGACGAGTTATGCAACGATCGAACGCGACACCGAAGTCGGGCTAATTGTATCCCGCGAGTGGAAACTTTTCAAAATTCGCTATCGATTTTTCCGCGAGTTTCGTGTTCGTCGGGGATCGATCGTCGTCAGACGTCGTTTAATTGCTCAAAGAATTTCTTCCATGCGCGCACCTGTGTTGCACGCACGGTGCGCAAGTATTACGACAGGGTTCCGTCTCCGTTTTCTTTTCTCTCATTATTTTTCTTTTCTTCTCCCCCCGCCTTTCGACCGGCGCAGTTTTCCTCCGTCGTTTGGATCGATGGCTTGTAAATAATTATGTAAATACGCGACGTGGAATCGACGATGGCGCGGGAGGATCGAGCCGATCTCGAGACGAAGATCACGATCGGTTCCGGTGGTCCTTGCTCGCGAAAATTTTTCAGGATGAAACGGAACAACGACGAAGGATACTCGCCAGGGTGAATCCGTCGCGATGGCTTCCGTTCGAAACCGCTCCGCGTGCCTTCTTTCCTACCGATTTTGGAGCGAAAATATATATTTTGTACCGATCTATGCTCTCCTCCGGATCGTCAACGATTCACGAGACTCCATCATGGCCGTTGAAAATCGTCGAAACGGAGGAGAGCAAGAAATTGTTAGAGTCGAATAAATTTTATTTCGGGTGAATAAAATTTGTAAGGCGATGGAAAGGCTAATTCTCAAGAGGCTGATCGTAGAGGGAGAATTTTTAAAAGACAACACACACATACACACACGAGAACGCTTCGAGATAACTCGCGTGCCTTATATTCGATATTCGATATTCGCGGATAGAGTTTCGCCTAATTCGAGTTTGAGAATCGTGAAAGTGTCTTATTTTCTGTTACGTCGATGGTACAATTATATGGAAAGAAAACCTCGAATTAGGCGACTCGTCTTGAGCAAACATAAAAGGGATGTTCGTTCTTTTCGGGGTCATGCGATTTTTTTAGTAAAAAATGTACAAAGTATTTTGGTATACAGTTTTTATTAATATTTACCCATCTTCTGGGAAGATTTACAAATTTTTATACAAGAAAAACATGGTACAATGGTAACAAATATCAATTTTTCAAAACATTTCTCAATTTTAAATACAAAATATTTTTATAAGCCTAGTAGAAGATATTTTCTAAAATACTAATAACATTGTATTTCGAATATCATTATAAAATTAAACACCCATGTTGAAGATGTTATAAAATCTATGTAAAAGCGAAGAAAATCGATTTTCTTGACCCGGTGAAGGGAACGAGTGCCCCGTTAAGACTACAATGTAGAACGCAAAGTCGTTTAGAGATAGAATTTTCGATCAAGTGTTCTTAAATGTTATAAATTATTCCGCGTGGCCGTTCTCGGGGTTTGTGGTATCGTCCCATTGCGTACCGATTCTCCAGGCGATAACGCGTTCTCGTTTTTATCGTCGAACGACCTTCGCGATGACAATTTTCCGTGAATCTGTGACGTTGGAAAACAGCTCGGGCAAAATTCTTATCTCGTTAAAAAAGCTTCGAACAACGACGAACCGCGATGACACCGTTGCAATAAAAAGTTCCGATTATGCAACGGAAAACGTTTCGAAACCGTCGCGCAAAAAATATCGCCGATAGGGTCGGGGAATAAATCCGTAGCTCGGCAATAAATTGCTCGCTTATCAATCGTTCGGAGCGTAATACCGGCCATCTCCGTTATCTGCCCGTCGATTGGAAGCGAGTAATCTCGTAGGTGGCGAACGTCATCGGCGACGATTCGTCTGCGCGGCTGCCAAAGGGGACGACGTACCCGTGGGAAATCGAAAATAGCGTTCCGCGAATTCTTGGACGGATCCGGCAATTGAGCTCGAAGAAGAGCAATTTTGTAAATGAGCCTCGCAGACGGACCGGTTACGTCAATGTTTCAATATTCAGGCCCAATCGAGCTCGTTCCAGGCGCGCGAACAATCTCACGGGGCGTTGCGACACCGCGTTTTATCGTCCACGAGCGAAACGCGTTTACCTGAGACGGTCTTCGAATTGAAGATGACGTACGAATGCACCGTGCATCGATTCCATAATCTATAATTCTTTATTAAAATATCTAATGTTTTACCAATCGATTATTGGGCACTTTCAACTGGACGAGAACTTCTGTTCGAACTTCGCCTGAAGAATCGGTAAACGGGAAACACCGTATTATTATATATATATATATATATATATATATATATTATAGCCTTCTCCGGCGTTGCGTCGATGGGGTCAAGGCGGCAATGTACAATAAAATGTAGCATAATCGTAAGCCATAATGAATTACATAATGCCATAAACGTTTTACATAATGAAAGAACCGTGGTGCGTCGAACCGTTCACGACGAGAGTAGCGTGCGGCGGTGCGTGCTCGATAGCGCGAGAAATCTATGCGTGGCTGCGTAAGTGCGTGCGTGATTGCCGTGTGTTTCCGCGTGCACAGCCCACAAGAGTCTATTAAACGAGGCATAAAGCGTATATAAGCAATATATTTTTTAAGTGCGCGGAAAAGTGTGCGAACGCGGCGGCGTACCGGAGAGTGGGTTCACGGGGACCACGGTGAAAAAAAGAAGAGAAGGGGGGGGGGCAGTTTCGTGGGCGAACCCCCGCGTTTTTTAAGTCCGTACACACGAGTGTAGGCAGACGTGTGCGTACTTTCACACAAACACACACACACACACATAGAGAGAAAGAATAATGTTGTAAGCATAATGCTCGTGTATCGTACGTGTACAAAGAAATTTATATGTATGTATATAGCGTTGAGTGCGAGAGAGAGAGAGAGTGAGAAAGTAAAACCAGAGCACGTATGTATATAAATACATAATTATATATATATATATTATATTTTAATACGATCAAACTTCTATGTACCGACGAAGCGCCTCTTAACTCGCCCGGTGCCTTTTAAATCGCTCCGTGCCTTATAGTTTCGCACGAGGCGAAAAATCAAGGACCAAAGTGCCTCGCGTCCTTAGAACGAGCCACACGGTATTATTTAGTTTTCGAGTCCTCCGGCGACGTACAAGCGTTTTCTCGCGACAAGCGAACACCGGTGACTCGTCCAAGCGTGTAATAATAATAATAATAATCATCATCATCATCAGTATTCAGATATATTCGATTTTATTTATTGGTCGACGCAAACGACGGCCGTTTCAATACACGGGACGCTCTATACATGTTTCTATCCACTGTTCGTCGAATAAAACGATCGAAATGATATTTGCGTACATCGTACCCACGTGTTTGCCTTCGTTTTTTATTTTATTTCCCCACACGTTTCCCTCCGTTGCTCGATTTTTATCCGGTGAAGAAAATACGAAGCAACGCGCGCGCATGAATCCACGGGTGCCTGGAGGCGCGATAATCGAACAATCCGCTTATCTATTTTCTTTCCGTACCAGCGAGGCTCCCCAGCGAGCGCGAACGGTGGCGAAAGCAACGATATTATTATTATTATTATTGATTCCGTTATGTACGATGTCGAGCCGCGCGTGTTTCCCTTTCGACGGGAAAATTCGCTCGATTACCGACCATATCCGTTATTGTGATTCATCGAGAGGAAGACGGAGAATGAGAGGGAGAGACTGAACACTGAATACGACAGAGAGAAAGAGAGAGAGAGAGAGAGTGTGTGTGTGCGCGCGAGTGAGTGAATGATCGACGATTCTAACGTGCGGTGAGACAGACAGGCACCGTCGCGTCGACGAGTCGTTTTCTTTTGTACGCTCAGAGAAACGAGAAATAATTGTATTAAATATTGTATTATATACACACGCGTAGATTATACGAGATAGAACTTTAACGAATTTGAGAGAAAATATAAGAGACTATTTTAAAAGAATTCCCCGTTCTCAGTACTTTCGTCCTGCACCGTCCTGCTTCCAAGATGGCCGCCGCGGCGTTTCCTTTCAGGCGACGTTGATCGACCAATTCTCGTCCTTTCGTTACACGGGTTCTGTATCTACGTAAATTTCGTAGAGATTGCAATTAAATTTCCATCGAGTGGCTTCAGAGGCGCGAAAGCGCACGCCTCGAGTTGCGCGCCAAAGCGTACGAGCACCACACTGTACATACATAAATTATCCGCCTATAAAAAATTCTAAGCCCTCCCTAAATAATTAACCGAGTCGTGCGTGAAATTTGATGAACGTCGGACCTTGTGTTGTCGCTGAAAAAAATTCCCAAAGCGGAGCGAAACGTGAAATATTCAGACGCGTTATCGGAAGTAGAGCCATAAGTTAGAACTTCCGTCGATCGATTTCGGATAATAGAGCATTTCACTGTATGCATTCAAGACGCGCGTGGCATGATAACGGCGAGCGCTGATAATTTTAGGGAAACCGATACGCCCGGACGAAGGTGGGATGCGCAATTGATTTTCACTCGAGTACTTTCCTCGATCCGAATATCGCGCGATCTGTCTCGATTCGGTCAACGATAATAGCCCGCGGGGCGAGGAAACGACAGATAATAATATTTATTGCACAATTATATCTCACGCTTTAGCGAACGAATAATTCATCGTGTCGCTTCCGTCCATATTGCTATCGAGCGTGGAAAGTTGGGAAAAAAAATAAAAATGTATCAACGAGTGTTTTGCTTTCTTCAACTTTAATCTTATCCGATAAAATCTTGAAAAAACTAACGCTCCACCGTTACGAGAATCTATAACGATTCGTGCCACCGATTTAAATGCGTTGAATACTATGCATAGCAATTGATATAAAACAAAAGATTCGTGAACGCCTTCTTAAATTTCCAAGAAAATTCTACAAATTTTTAATATATTAAAAGCCTGGGCAGGGGGATATTTTTTTATTCGATACTTTTACTGGATTGGAAATTAATTCGTTGGTGGTTATACCTAAATACATAATTCCGTGGTACGAGGGCTGAAGTCATACGGGAGATAAGCAGAAGCCAAGTCAAAGTGACTGGTGTACCGAAAGCAGTCACGTCGGATGCACACACACACACACACACACACACACATCGTGGCTCGCAATCGATGCGAGCGACGCATTGTTTCCGTTATCGCGGTCGATTGGCAGTGGCCGCGGATCGACGATCGCGCACGTACTCGCTAAACTTTCTAAGCACGCAACCACGCGCTCGCCCGTGCTCTCCGCGCAGTTCCCGTCGACCACCGATGCACTCGCGTCGATAAATGACGTAAATTATGTTTATCAGCCTTAACAAGTTGGCCCTTCAATTTTTCGGTCATTTTCTAATTTCGAAACGATAATTTCTCAACGAAGCACAAAGAATTAGAAAAGCTACATATTTCCACCGCAAAATCCGAGGAATCTAAATCGTTTCATTGGTTTTGGGTCCTTTCCAAATTTCACAATGGCCACCTAAAATAATCAATTTTGTTAGCGTCGATTAATCTGAACCTATACGTTGCTTGCAAGTCTATATCGACCTTTCTATCGTATTATTTTATAGGACAATTTCTACCTGGGGGTTCAATAAAAGAACCGAAACGTCGTTTGTGTAGTAAAGAGTATCTTCTACCTTCGTCAGAGGTACTTGCTCGTAAAAGGGGAAACCTTTCTAATCCCTGTGTGCTTTTATTTCACGGTTTCGAGCCGCGAATCAAGGATTTGGTTCGTTCCAGTTTCAGCAATAAAATTTTAAATTTTACCTGTGCGTTCGAAGCACCGATGCAACTGAATGAAATCCAAATGAATTGCAATTTCTATCGTCTGCTTTCGACGAACGGTGCGGCGCGTGCAGTTGCACACGTGCGTATGATGCAACATATTCTTACGTACCACGGGAGCGTACGGTATGACTAACTAATTGAACCCTAACGAGCGACGATTACGCCGAAAGCATAATTAGCGACGTCCGACGAATTCCCAAACGTCGATCAAAGAGACTAGGAAGCGCGAGAAAATAATTAATAAAATAATACTATTTTACGAATTCGTTTTAAAATCGTGCAACGCCGGGAGAAAGTAGATTAAGAAAGCCCGTTGATCCCTCGTCCGAGCCACTTCCTCCTCTGTAGATTTACGAAGAACTCCGTACGTGTTCTCGTACGCTACAGATACTCGAGTTATCGACGGTGGCAGCGCAGTTACACTGATTTATCGATATTTCCCTGCAATTCCTGTCGAAAGATTATTAAATATCTTATCGTCCCGGTTACAGGCCGCGATGCGATCTCGGAATCTAATTAACTTGAAAACAATTTCAGAATTGCAAAACAACAGGCATTTGCACAGTCGTATATAACACGTTAATGGCAAATATTGTTTCGACGAGCGGCGTACATTAAAACACTGAATGTTTGTCGAAAGTTCTATACATTAAATGGTAATAACAACGCTGTACGTTTTTATTGAGGCCATCGCGTACGCGCAAAGCAGACCTTGAATCGAAGTATGACTGATGCAACGCTTCAATCAGAGCCAATAAATGTCACAGACTGGTGCAATGCAATTAGGATAGGGTGCACTGGCACGTAAAAGCAAAAATTCGTAACATAGAATAATACAGCAGAAACCGTGTGAGAGAGAGAGAGAAGTCTTTTATCAATACTATTTGACGAAAGAAAAATTTAGCAAAAGTAAAAGAAAATGGAAGGAACGAGTTATAATCGCCTGCACGTTGAAAGTTTGCGTCCTGTTCGTGCCGCGCTGAATCCTTTGTTAAATTGTCCTTGTACTCGAGAATTAAAGAAACTATTGTCCGTGACGCGTGAAAAGAAAAAACAGAACCTCGCGACAGAATTCCCCGCGTCTGGCGTCCTCAACCGGAAATTCGAAAAGGATACCAAAAAGTTCCTGGCCCGATTCCAACAGTCGAGCAGCGTGACTTCTGTTTGCGAGTCGAAGATCAGCGTAGCTACAAAGTCTCGAGTTTCGTTGATTATTCTCGCCGTGTGCTTCTTGTCCATCCGTCGATATCTGCTCGAACAGCGATTACGAATTGGCAGGTGCGTATATATGTATATTTTATCGAACACCATCGAGGGGAAAGTCGAACGACGACGATCCCACTGGTGTCGTTGCATCGTGTTGATCGACGCTAAACTATTTTTCTGCGAAAAATATCCGAGACACGGTTTTGCCAAAGATTAAACGAAACGACACGAGATAGCGCGTAGAGTACGGAACAGGCTCGCGTAATAATTTGCATCGCAGTGTCGAAATGATCGACGCATCAAACCGACAACTTGGCCTCGAGTGGCCCCCTCGAGTGCCACACTTTCGAAAGTCACTGGTTTTCGAGATAGCGGCTAATTATAAAAGGCATTCGTGTTCCGTCGTGGCAGGGAACGCGGGGCTCTATAGAGACGCGTGTCGAACAAAAAAAATCGTGATCCTCCGAAAAATCACTGTTTACCACATTTATTTTTACTCTAGACGAACACCGTGACCCCTTCTCTCCCAACGTTTCTCTCAGACGTCTCCCGGTTGTGGTTTTTCTCTTTTTTTTCCCCTCCCCCCTCTCCCCTTCGTTCTCTTTCGAGTCGACGTCGTTTTTGGGCACGCGGGACGTTAATCTTCCTCGGTTGACGGTTTTCCCGGCTGGTCGGGTCCGAGGTGCATATCTTTACGATGATCGAAGGTCGCCCGATCCGCGGACTATAATCAGATAAAGAGGCTGCTTTAGATCGTGAAACGATACCAGCCGTTTCTGGTTACAGGTTCTGCAGTCAGAGCACGCTGGAGAAGCATTAGTCGGTAGCGTAGCTGTAAATGACGGAGCGTTATGAACCGCCCGAAGCGCGAGTTGCATTGACCAAGGAAGAGATTCACAATCGATACCAAGACACGGCCCTGGTTATATTCAAAGTAAACCGTTTGTACTTGAACGTAGCGTACGTAACTAGATTAATATTAAACGTTGGTTCGTTTCGATCGATACCATCTTGGAAGCAACCATATTTCTCGATAAGCAAATTGCGTTTTAAGAACGCTGTCTCGTACTCTGTTTGATGCATTCTAAATCTCTCCGTTGCAGGAACAACAGAGTAAAAGGGAAGTCGTCAACTATCTGACTTTTGGTACCAGTCGCAGGACCATGGAATACAGTAGCTATGGAAATCAACCCGTTATTGTACGAAGACCGGCCGGACCGTTGGCGGTCCAAAACACCGAAGACTTGTCTTCGCAGATATTAAGGATATACAGAAAGCCTCGGGACAGTTGTGTAATAAATTAATGTACGATTTAATCGTTGTTTTCGGGTCGTGAATTCGACACGATCGTGTTGTTTAAATGTATCGTTGTTGTATTTGGTATTCTCGATATTCTTTGCTTCGACGCAACCTACCGATTAATCGATCTATTTATCGAACTTTCCGCCATTGTCTTGGTTCGCTTCTGTTGCACATGCGCACGTTACTTTCCTAATATCGATCACAATCTTGATTGATCTATTTACATACGTAAATAATTGTTTAAATATTTATATAACTATATTTATACAATATATATTCTTTCGGATACATTCTCGATGATCGAATTACAAATTGTCCGACATTTATCCGAGCTGTGTACAGGCCCATCACTGCAGTTGAGATAAAGTTCAACACACCGGCTTTGAGGTTATGATAAATTCGTGCGTTACGAGAATAAAAGCAACAACGTTTCGTTCTTTAAATTATAGCAACATGTACAATTTCGTATAAAATAAATATGCAATAGAGGATGGATCACGCTCGGAGAGCCAGTAAAAATCGGCGAAAAGAACAGAGCGCGAACTCGAGGTTTACCGAATTTTCAGATAATCGGTTAACATGTCGTTTCGATATGCGTTATGACACCAGAACTAAATGCAGGAAATTGTCAGGGTAGCTCAAATGTTCGGACATCCATTGAAGAGGCGTTTCCATAGGTGGCACTATGCCATGGGTGAGCACCGTGACTGTAAAGAAATTATATATATCCTCTAATAAAACAGAATATTTCCTTAGTAAAAGAGAACATATATTTACTCTTCTCCTGGTTTGGAAATACTTCATTCAACAAATGCCTTAGTGTTTTCCTCTGACCCTCTTCGTTGATAGGTTTCACGAGCTTCTGAATGTATTTGTCCTCGCTTGTGTAGCATCTAAATGGTATATATTTGAAACCTTCTTCGCTGTTGCTGGCCTCCATAAGTTTTCGATTCACGGACCAAAATTGATCGAATTTGTCATTGAGCAGGCCAGACCACAGCTGATTGTGATCTTTCTTTTGCATACTGGACACAACTTGACTTCTGTGCTTCAATACATCTGCTTCTTTTATACAGGATAGGAAATAGGACTCTGCTGCCTCTCTAAAAGATCAGTCCAATCGAATTCAATTGATTCATTGCCAGGAATAATTGAATTATGCCTCGATGTACATACTTGTTTTGACAATGCATCAATACATTCTCTGGGAACCTTTCAAAGTGAACAACAATGTTCCATGGTAACTGAATGTCGTTAGAATAAATGTCCATGAGCACACCGATCGGATAATGCCATTTTAGGGGTATTCCATTGAATTCTAGCCACATTTCGTGTTCCTGTTTAGTGTCGCTTTGCACGTGTCGTATAAAATGCTTTCGTACCTTTCGCGCGGAAAAAGCAATTTCAGACGAGGTAACAATTTATTTACATCGAACTCTATTGGACTTTTATTGATTTACCTTGTCTGTGCAGAGTGGAAAATAACTTAACCTAGGTACCATTAAATAAAACGGATCGGGCCCTTGCAATTCGCATATTTCCTCGGAATCAAGCGTAAAACAAACGGGAATTTTGCCATCCCAAATTTCTCTGAGCACCTCTCTATCATTTGCCATTATGCATACGACGACAAACAAAGTTTGTTTCAATTCATTCGTGCCTACAATGTCACTTAGCTACCCTTACAGTAAAGGGGTTATGTTTTTCGTCTGCTACAAAAACTTTATATATATATCTACACGACGGAACATCGGGTGCACTGGGATTGAGCACCGGGTGCACTACTCACGCTATGCCAGATCACGCGTACGTGAGCTCGTGGAGTTTCGGCAAGTCGACAAAGACAAATTGACACCTGCTCTCTTTCTCCATTCTCCGAAGCTACCCGAAGTAATTTCGGACCGCCTCGTAGGACTCGAGAGAGCAAGGCTCACATTTGCCTTCTGGCACTTGACAACTAAACTCCGACCTCCCGTCAACGACATACGATCTGGAATCATGAGTCGAGATTCTCCACTGCCCATACATTTTTACTTTCCGACCTATGCATGCAGACGCACATAAGCAAAGTACCCATAATGAAAACAACATTTTGTGAAATTATATTACATATTTTCATTACTGAAAATAAAGAAATTCTTTTTTATCATTCTTATGTATGAGCGTACATATGTATGTTATTTCAGATATCACTTTTGATGTGTCTGCTTCTAGCTGGGGCCTCTGCTAACATCTGCCGACACGTGCGAGCCTCTGCCTGTCTCTGCTGACCTCTACTGGCCTCTGCTGACCACTCCTGGTACTTCTGACAACGTACAACGATTACGACTAGCTACTGCTTGTCCCTGCTGGTCTCTGCATGCCTCTGCATCCCTCTGCTCATCTCTGCTGACTGCTGCTGACCACTGCTGACCAACACCGATGCTTCCGACAACGTATGACGATTACTACATGTTACTGCTTGCCCCTGCTGGTCTCTGCTTCCCTCTACTGTCCCCTACTGTCCCCTACTGTCCCCTACTGTCCCCTTCTGACCCCTTCTGACCCCTTCTGACCCCTGCTGACCCCTGCTGACCCCTGCTGACCACTGCTGACCCCCCTGACCCCTGCTGACCACTGCTGACCCTTGTTAACAACTTCTGCCATGATATATATGTATTAAAACGTTGTATAATGTAAATCTATGACAATAAATGATATAATTACAAAGAATTCTATGTGTTCTCATCATTTCTTACCTTTCTTTTCCTCTCCAAAGCATTCCCATAGTTATTAAGATACCTGCCACCTCTTCCCATATAAAACGATACTTATTCATTTATTCGCTCGAAAAATTTCTAAGTTCCTCGAAAAGATTTGAGGGGGGTCCCGTTTAAATTTTTCGTCAAAAAGTCCTGAAACAATTGGAAAGTCCTGAAACAGCTGGAAAGCCTGAAACAACCTTTGGGAAGTCCTGAAACAGCTGGAAAAGCCTGAAACAACCTTTGGGAGGTCCTGAAACAACTTTGGAAAGTCCTGAAACAGCTGGAAAGCCCTGAAACTCAGAACTTTGCTAAAAATTCAGTTGTTTCAGGACTTTCCAGCTGTTTCAGGACTTTCAAGCTGTTTCAGGCTTTTCCAACTGTTTCAGGACTTCCCAAAGTTGTTTCAGGACTTTCCAAAAGTTGTTTCAGGCTTTTCCAGCTGTTTCAGGACTTCCCAAAGTTGTTTCAGGGCTTTCCAAAAGTTGTTTCAGGCTTTCCAGCTGTTTCAGGACTTTCCAGCTGTTTCAGGACTTCCCAAAAGTTGTTTCAGGACTTTCCAGCCGATTCAGGCTTTTCCAGCTGTTTCAGGACTTCCCATAGTTGTTTCAGGAAATTTTTGGGAAATCGGCGAAATTTTCGAGCAAAAATTTTTCGACGAAAAAAATGAATTCTCGATTTTGCCAACAGGTACGAGAGTGACGGTTACAGAAAAAAAGTTTAAAAGTTAATTTTTGATTTTGGAAACAAGTACGAGAGCTGGACACTTTGGGAAACCAATTTTAACCGGAAAGACGGACTCTTAAAACTAAGGGAATGATTAGGAGAGGAAAAGAAAGGTAAAAACGATGAGAACGCATAGAATTCTTTGAAATTATATCATTTATTGTCATAGATTTACATTATACAATGTTTTAATACATATATATCATGGGAGAAGTTATTAACAAGGGTCAGGAGTGGTCAGCAGGGGTCAGGGGGGTCAGCAGTGGTCAGCAGGGGTCAGCAGGGGTCAGCAGGGGTCAGAAGGGGACAGTAGGGGATAGTAGAGGCTTGCAGAGGGAAGCAGAGACCAGCAGGGGCAAGCAGTAACATGTAGTAATCGTCATACGTTGTCGGAAGCATCGGTGGTGGTCAGCAGTGGTCAGCAGCAGTCAGCAGAGGTGAGCAGAGGGATGCAGAGGCCAGCAGAGGGATGTAGAGGGATGTAGAGTCATGTAGAGGCATGTAGAGACCAGCAGGACCAAGCAGTAACTCGTAGTAATTGTTATACGTTGTCGGAAGTATCAGGAGTGGTCAGCAGCGGTCAGCAGAGGCGAGCAGAGGCCAGTAGAGGGATGTAGAGGGATGTAGAGGCATGTAGAGGCATGTAGAGACCAGCAGGACCAAGCAGTAACTCGTAGTAATTGTTATACGTTGTCGGAAGTATCAGGAGTGGTCAACAGCAGTCAGCAAAGGCGAGCGGAGGGAGGCAGAGGCCAGTAGAGGCCAGCAGAGACCAGCAGGGGCATGCAAAGATATGTAGAAGCATGTTGAGGCATGTAGGGACCAGCAGGAGCAAGCAGTAACATATAGTAATCGTTATACCTTGTCAGAAGTATCAGGAGTTGCCAGCAGCGGTCAGCAGAGGCGAGCGGAGGCAGGCAGAGGCCAGTAGAGCCCAGCAGAGGTTAGCAGAGGGATGCAAAGGGATGCAGAGACCAGCAGGGGCATGTAGAGGCATGTAGAGGCATGTGGAGACCAGCAGGAGCAAGCAGTAATACATAGTAATCGTTAGACGTTGTCGGAAGTACCAGGAGTGGTCAGCAGCGGTCAGCAGAGGCGAGCAGAGGCCAGTAGAGGGATGTAGAGGCATGTAGAGGCATGTAGAGACCAGCAGGACCAAGCAGTAACTCGTAGTAATTGTTATACGTTGTCGGAAGTATCAGGAGTGGTCAACAGCAGTCAGCAAAGGCGAGCGGAGGGAGGCAGAGGCCAGTAGAGGCCAGCAGAGACCAGCAGGGGCATGCAAAGATATGTAGAAGCATGTTGAGGCATGTAGGGACCAGCAGGAGCAAGCAGTAACATATAGTAATCGTTATACCTTGTCAGAAGTATCAGGAGTTGCCAGCAGCGGTCAGCAGAGGCGAGCGGAGGCAGGCAGAGGCCAGTAGAGGCCAGCAGAGGTTAGCAGAGGGATGCAAAGGGATGCAGAGACCAGCAGGGGCATGTAGAGGCATGTAGAGGCATGTGGAGACCAGCAGGAGCAAGCAGTAATACATAGTAATCGTTAGACGTTGTCGGAAGTACCAGGAGTGGTCAGCAGCGGTCAGCAGAGGCGAGCAGAGGCCAGTAGAGGGATGTAGAGGCATGTAGAGGCATGTAGAGGCATGTAGAGACCAGCAGGACCAAGCAGTAACTCGTAGTAATTGTTATACGTTGTCGGAAGTATCAGGAGTGGTCAACAGCGGTCAGGAAAGACGAGCGGAGGGAGACAGAGGCCAGTAGAGGCCAGCAGAGACCAGCAGGGGCATGTAAAGATATGTAGAGGCATGTAGAGGCATGTAGAGACCAGCAGGAGCAAGCAGTAACATATAGTAATCGTTATACCTTGTCAGAAGTATCAGGAGTTGCCAGCAGCGGTCAGCAGAGGCGAGCGGAGGCAGGCAGAGGCCAGCAGAGGCCAGCAGAGGTTAGCAGAGGGATGCAGAGGGATGCAGAGACCAGCAGGGGCAAGTAGAGGCATGTAGAGGCATGTGGAGACCAGCAGGAGCAAGCAGTAATACATAGTAATCGTTAGACGTTGTCGGAAGTACCAGGAGTGGTCAGCAGCAGTCATCAGAGGCCAGCGGTGGACTGTAGGAAAATTCAGACGTACATGTAGTCGTACCTTATACGTCGTACTTTGTATCTTATACTTCAGGTACAAAGGGGTATAACTTGGTAAAACAGTTTTATGACATTATCTGGTAGCTCAAGTTACTGTTCCCTTTTTAAACGAAATAATTACTTGGTACAACTGAACTAGAAGAACTATTCCACGACAAACTTGGGCGTTTTAGCACCAAGGGGTTTGAGGTCGAAAATGCGCGCCATCTAGCGTCGCAAATAGCGAACTATTTGACAATAAACGTGGGCGTTGTGCAAACATGTACCACCGATGGGTCACACTTTCTTTAACTTACAGGCAGGGAGCATCACAGGCAAAGGGGCGTTTAAGTGGGCAAGAATGCAGTCACTTTATGTAGACACTACTGTAGTTATTATAATAATAATAAGCTTTAGAAACTGTTTATTAATTAGACTGAAGTACATATAGTATTATGCTTGATGTGTTGTGATGTGTCTTATTTACTTCTCTTACAGCTCCTTTTCTTGTGGTCCTTAGAGAATGCTAAGTTTTGCAAATTTTTAGAATTGTCATTTTATTTCTTCGGTTCCAAAATCTGTAAAATGGAGTAGCCAAAATGAACTATCGTTTTAAGAACGACTTCCAGAAACGCGACGAATTGTAAGAAATAATTGTCAGCAGTTCTGCAGTAGAAATCAATAATCAAAGTTATATGAAATGCGTATCATTGCGTTTTGAATTCGTAATAGTTCGCGAACAAAATATTAATGTTCCATTAATTATTCGTATCTAATAATCCATCGTTCATCTCTTGGATCAAGAGCACTAACATTTAACAGTGATTTAATACATGTTCAAAACGCCACGATAGATATCGAATAGCTAATAATGCATTCCTTTGACTCAGAACATAATTGAAACATTAAAAAATCAGAGAACCTTTGGCAGGAAATATTTGCGAGGAAATCATTTGGGACGAATAAAGTAGGAACGGAGTAAAAACTTGTATTTTGAAGATTACAGATATTATTCTTCGCCGAAAATAATTATTTCCTATTGAGTGCAAGTTTGTAAATTTAGAAAATACCGTAGCGAGAAAACTACTCTACTCTTGTTCGTAACCGTGTATATTTATGTGTAAAAGGATATTGTTTTTTTATTTCGCTAAGCATGCTGCCATCTGACGGCGGTTCGTGGCGATTCGCAGGAAGTCGAGGGAAACCGTGCCAATTTCCGGTCGAACGTCTCGAATTCCATTTAGCGGAACTCGCGTGGAAATTTTTCTTACTTAAGTTTAAGTGAAAAACACGAGCGTCTTGAAATATTTTAACACATTATTTTATTGGTTTTTTCCTTAAAAAAAGAATGAACTTGAAATTGGTTGTTGGGTTTTTTGTTTTTTTTTTTTTTGTTGGATCCTGGCGAGTAATGACTGGGCATTTCGAAGCGACAATACACACTAATTTGCAAATTGAACTAGCTATGTATATATGTATATATACATACATGTTATACGTACATATATGTATATATAATATTTATATATGTAAGGTAGGTATCTTCTCTCTCGTTTACTGCATAATACATAAGTAATAATGCATGTTTGCGTCTTCGTGTTCTCTCTCTTTCTCGCGTCACGCTTTCGTTCTTACATTCACGCACGACACCGAACCAGTCGTTTTCGTAGATTCAAAGAATATTCGAGTTTTAACCTTTTTCGTTATTTGTATTCCATATGTTCTTTTTTTTTTTTTTGTTTATTTTTACTTTTTCCTAACACGTGGGGAGGTTCCTCAATGGCAGATGCGACCACATGTATAGAATACTTATTTTTTCCATTAAAGAAGAGAAATGATACAATCGAACCGTTCGCGCGGCGACGAGCACGCGAAACCGAGAACTTCGCTAAATCGACTGCAATTAAAGATCGCGTGGATCCGTCGATCGTCGACGACGAGGATCTTGTCTGTTCTTGCGTACGCGAAATAAAATCCATTTCACGTGGACGATCGTCGATCCCGTTATTCACGTTTATCGCTGGATCCTCGTGGATCGCGTTCCCCGGCGCCGCGCGAGCTATGAAATACGTATAAAGGTACAATCCGCACTCGATCTGCTTTCTCCGAGAAAAACAAGTGTTCCTTCTGCATTTTCACGTATGCATACATCTATGTATATGTATATATGTATATATGTATAAGTAATATACAGTAAGTGTACAGTAACGCGAAGATTGGCGGGATATTGCGCGAACGGCATACCTCCAACGAGATTGTAATAACGATATTAAAGAAAGAACAGAAATTTCGATGCCCGTTACCACGAATGAAAGTACATCGAGGTAGATTAAACTAATATTATTTATACGTATGTATATGTATAATTATATATTTATAATGTATATGTATATATATATATTTATTTATATATTATATGAACGCGTTTCTCTTTTATCCGATAGTCGGTAAACAACGTCGCGCAGAATCGACCGCCAATCGTCCGCCATTCACGCAACTGGCAGCAGCACTCGCTTGCGCTATATCGCTATACCCTTTTTTTTAAAGTTAGTTTTAGTCAAAGTTAAAGCTTTCAATGGGTTTATCTCTCCACTTGTTTTCCCTTCCTCCTTTACACGAACGTTTATAACAATGGTACGCGCGACTATTAAAACGTGTCTACGGAATTTTCTCCCTCTCACGCTCGCCCCCTGTTCTCGTTCACTCTTACGCAACCACGCAAACCACGCATTCCAGCTCTCTTCTCACACCCTCGTTTATTCAGGCACTGTCACACGTAGCCAGATTCTCATCCTCGGTTTTACTCTCGTACCTTGCACGCGATCTCGTACACTCGAACTTGGCCATTCGATCAACTCGATTACCATTACTCGAAGGCTTGCGAGACATAGTTGACCGTTCACGGGGATCATCTTTTTTCTTTCTCACTAGCTTCAGCGTTTGGACATCGCGGCGATTCTACTTTCGTTGTCCTTTACCACGCCTCCCTAGTTCGGATCGTATGAAAAATTGTTTTAAGCTTCGTTAAAATGTTCTCCAGCTCCCTTCGATACCCAACGATCGCCTCGTTTTATACACAATTCTATCTGTCTTTATATATACACAGTTACAACAGTTTTGTTCACACAACGGGAACTCCTCGAATGCAAAATTCATAAAACAGATTTCATTAATATTTACGTGTTAATCTCTTCTATATACGTCTATACTTTCCTCTTTCATCCCCCAATGTTTCGCTTAGATCTATCGTTTCGTTGCGTACCGAGGGGAACCCAGAAACCCGAGAAATTCAAGATTTGTTCTCACGGTCAGTTATCCCGCTGGTCAACCATTAGATTCATGTATTCGATTAAAAGTAATCGAGCCGTCGAATGATTCGAGCACCCGATAGAACCGGTTGAATCAAGAGCACTATCGTAGACGCATTCGAAGAGCATTAAGCCACGCTCCCACGCGCAGGAACACATTGATCCAGAGACGGGCAACATTCTGGATCAAAATCATCCGTGGTTACCGACAGGATAAAAATAAAAGTCTCGTACGATGGACAAAAATTTAATCGTTCTGTCGAATAAACATACGTTGGTCTTATCTACTGTTGCCCATCTCTGGTCTTCTCAACACGTTCTTTCTTTATTAACTCTATCTTTCGTTGACTTTGCAATGTAAATATATTTCTGGAGAAATTCTTTGTCAGAATGTAGTTTTCATCCCTTAAGGAACGTGTTAAGTGCATCGAGGGTGCGAACGTGGCTCTACACGGCGCATAATACACAGCCAGACATTGTTCGCTTCTGCCTTCCGTGCCAATCTCTTCTCGGTTCGTCGTCCCTCCTCTAAACGCTCTACCGTTCTCTCTTTCTCACCCCCTTTTTGATTTCTTACGTGCGTTCAACATCGAGGCACTCTACTTTTCGTGGACGATGATCCTCGAGCCAGCAAACGTAACTCAAAGTCGATGGTTCGAATCGTTTTGCCAAGAAAGGCTTAATTCGTGACTGTTCTTCCTTTCCTCGACTTTCGCGACGCGAAAATCATCGTTCACGATCAATAGCGTTTTGTCCTTTCGCAAGAGGCGACTCCTCGAGTTACCACCGTTAATATTCGTCGTTTCTCGTTTGCGTATCCTAGTATTTTTTGTGAACGTGTTAATATTAAGGCAACTCTTGTTACTATTTAATGATTCGTCGCGTTACGATTTTATTCCCCTCTCTTTCACCGTGTGCCGTTCTCGCCCCCTTCCTTCGTACCGATTTACTCGGAACCGGAAGGATCAGCCATCCGAGTACCCTTGCACGACCACACTTTCGCACTCTCGAAAATACATTTACGCTTTTTCTGTACAGAATATCGGTAACCAGGCGACGCCACCCCCGTCGAATCGAGCGTTCGAAACCATCAAACGACCATCGAACCCTAAAGTAACTTTTGTACTTGTTGAACACGATTTAAAAGTGTCCAATGCTTTGGAACCAAAAGTATCCGGGGCTACGTTCGCCAACAAGACAATGTTCGTTTCGTGTTTAAAGAATAAATCTAGAATACGCGTTGGCTGATGCTTTCGAACGTAATCGATGGTCACGAAGAAGATCTCGATTCGACGAAGATCGTCGTCGCGCGAAAGCGGTGCACAGAAATAATTCGTAAACCTCGAAAGAATTGACATCCACGCACATCCCTCGCGTTAAACAATCCGGTCGTTCGAAGATTCAGACACGGGCCAAGATCAACGTTCTCTCGTTTGAACCTTTTTAAGTATATTTATACGTATATTTATAATGTATGTATATACATTATATATATATAATAGAGAGAGAGAGATCGGTGTAATAGTGTATCGACGAGATTTCGATTATTTGCAAAAGTATGAAACTCTACGGAGCTCCGGCTCGTCGGGGAGCCGAGAGGTCTAGTGACGAAGTTTATTTCGTTTATATTTTTTTTTTTTTTTTTCTTTTTTCCTTTTTGTTTCTTTTGTTTGTTTTGTTGTGACTATTTATTATCGACAGGGCGTTTAGCGTCAATATACGGTTTCATTATTCGTTCGTAACCGCTTATACGTACATATTTATATATGCATACGGGTATTTATATATAAATACATAGATATAAAATGCACGTTACCATTTACGCGTATCATTTACGTGTACATATTTATATATATAGATATATATTTATATACATATATGTATATATATAGATATATATATGTATGTATAGATAAGTAGAAAAACTCTTAATCGTAGGTATTTACGCGTTACACCATTTACGCCCCTCCCCGGGTTTACGTCCTCGTTCGATCTTCCTTTACTTTTTCTCTCCCGTTCGCTTATCGTTATTATAATTAAATGCAAGTAATGAAATCGTACATGGATTCTGTTCGACGATCGACTAAAAATGATCCTTCGAAGTCTCTTCCCGCCTAGTCACCGATGGGGAATTGTATCCGGTCGCGAGGCTCGCGTAAACGTTCTGCAGTTGCGTTGTCATTAACGGTACTTTCTACGAACGAGCCGAGAAGCATTTCTTTGGTTATTCTTTTTTTTTTTATTTTTTCATTCGCCCGCTACGTCGCACGTTACGATCGAGGTTTTCCTTTATTAATACAACGCAGTCCCCGTCGGGCGACTGTCTTTTGGACACTTCCTCCACCACCACCACTTTTCCACGTTTACCACGATACCGTTTTGCTCTCGTAATTTCGCACACCGTGGACAATCGCGTCTCGACGCCCCGCAGGATGGCGTTTATTTTTATTCTTTTATCGAGCTAGAGTAACTGCGGCGGCAAACATTAAACCTCTAAACGCTGCGCTACGCGTAGGTGAAGTCTCGACGAGATTGCGAATAGAAAGATATAGTAAACTGGAAAAAATTTCACCACGGACCGTTTTAACGTCTACCTGGACCTTGTCAGCGGCGCTCTATTCTAAGCTGCGGGGCGTCCAGACGCCGAATCGTATCAACGATCGTTTGTTTCGTTGAATTTGTGCTCTATATCTCTTCCTAATCAGCATCGTTGTTCGCGCATGCTCTTCTCCTGGCCGTGATTCGCTCGCGAGAACTCGAATTTACGCGCGTCGGCTGGATCTCCTCGTCGTTCACGATTATCGGATCCGTTCGTTTAAATTTCATTTGGTTTGCGTCGTGGTTGCTCGCGTTGATCAGCGCGTTCGAGCGTATGCGTTGGTTATTTAATTATTTATAATTACATTTATACGTATGCTTTCGATTAGAACTAGATTCCTCCGTTATAACTAATGTTACGCTAAGTCATCGTTAAGAGCTTGGTCATATGCTTGCTTTTACGACGCTAAAGAGTTTCATATTTACTTTTTTTTTTCTCTCTCTGTTGTTCTTGTAAATTAGAAGATTTCTCGACATCCGCCGCTCACACGCACACAGACGCGCACGAATGGCTTCCAACACCCCGCCCGCGCGCGACCATCTTTTCGTTTCAAACCGTATTTCGGGGCTACAAAATTGTCCATCGACGCGACGGCTAGATTTCTTTGGATTTATCACAGAAAAACATTTTTAATAATAATCCCGTCTCGCCCTAACACTTTCGCGTCCGTGCAACGTTGAAACGAACGCTTCCCGCCCGCGATCGTATCGATGTTCAAAGAACCCGCGGGGGCAGAAAAGAAACGAAAAACCATCGGCGTCGAGACTCGCGATCGATAACGGGAAAAAAGTCTGGAGGAGATCGTTACGATGCATAAAACGAAAGTGAAAGTGTTACAATCGATCATCCTCTTGTCCAAGCATCTTCCTGTTCCCCCCATTCGCGCCCACTTCGCCCACCATTTTCGTGTTATCATTTTTTTTGTCTCTTTTTTTTCTTTTATTATACTTATGTATCCTCTTTACAGTGACGTTTAAACGCGACGATACGAAATACGATTGAGTTTATTAAAGCACTTAAGGGAAAAAACCACGCTCAGCACCGACTGCACTACATGAAACGCACGCACGTGAGATTCTCGGTGCTCATTTTATCTGTGTCTTTAAATTCTTATTCGTTTAGTATTTTATCGTTAATATTTTTCTGCTTTTTCTTCTTTTTTTGTCTTTTCTTTATTATTTTTTTTTTTCTGTTATTTTACCGGGTAACGGCACTTCTTTTCGGCGCTTTACTGTCGACGCGTTCTTGTTCGTGTTCGTGTTCGTGTTCCGCGAGTGACGATCACATCGATGCGACTATACCGTACGAACCAGCACGAGAACGTGAACCATTTGACGGGGGGCCAATGAGTAAAAGGTAAACCGCGTTCGATCGCCGAGAACCTCGAATCCGCGAAGGTGCATCGAAATTTCGTTCACGTCGGACCGGTCGCTGTGTACGTTCACACGGTGTAACCGGGCTGCGACCGATTCCCGTGTTTCGTTTATTTATGTTCAGTCGGAATCCACGTACGCAGATTACGCAGGCAAGCGCGAAGTGGTATCGAAAAATGATTAATTACGCCTCCGTAGATCGTCGCGATCGACGCTTCCCACGCATTCACGCTACACTCTCGTTCCCGATCGCGCTCACTTTCTCTCTCTCTTTCGCGTATTTTATTTACATCTACATACGCGTAGATGTCCGTGTATACGTGCTGCGAAAAAAGACGTATGGTTTTTTTTTTTTTTCTTCTTCATATATGTAAATATGTACAGATTTATGTATCTCGTGTGTGTTTCGCTTAAAACACCCCCGTACGATTGGCAGTATGTTACATGTGTTTTTTCTTTCATCGAATCCCTCGTCCTCTCTAGAATCACGCAAACCCTTCTCGACTTACGCGCGCGCGCGCTCTATATAATAACCAGACGTCTGTTTTTTTTTTTTTTCATTTTTAATTTTAAACGCACCGCGAGTTCGAAATTCGGTTTCTTTTATCGTATATGTTTGTCCTGTGTGTGGTGTGTGTGTGTGTGAGTGTGTGTGCGCGCGCGCGTGTGTACGTACGATCGATCCACGCCTCTCCATGTTCGTTCCGACGAGTGATTCGCGTACACCTTAACCGTACAATTATAGTGGTAGTAACAACAGTAGTAGCAATGGTTTTGTAATTTTTAATAAAACGTTTCGGTAATCGTAGCGTTAGTAAAAGTAGTAATAATAATACTATTAGTAACAGTAATCGTAGTAATAGTAGTTTTGTAGTTTAGTAGTAGTTGCAGCGGTAGTAATAGTAACAGTAGTAGTAGTGATAGTAGTAACAGTAGCAGCAGCAGCGATAGTAGAGGTTGGTGTTTTGGTGGTGTTGTTTTTGGTGGTGGTAATTAGTAGTTTACGATGGTAGTAGTAGTTGCGGTAGTAAATAGTAGTAATAGTAGTGTAGCGGTAGTATCGATGGCGGTAGTAAGTAGTGATAGTAAATTGTAGTAGTAATAGTAATAGCGGTAATAGTGGTAGTATTTAGTAATTAATAGTAGTAGCCGTAGTTATTAGTAGTAGCGGTAATAATTAGTAGTGGAATAGTTCTTTCTCGTAGGTGTGATAGTAACGGTATAGTAGCAGTGATGGTAAATTTTTAATTCAAAATTATGAGGTAATTTACAAGTGCTCGTGAATTATCTTCTTCCGCTCCGTTTCCTTTCGTTTCTCGTTTCCGTTTATCGATTCGTTTAATATCTCTTTTATTGTTTCACAAGAACGTAGAACTTCGTGGCCCTCTTCGCCGTCTCCGTTTCCGTTTCCGTTTCCGTTTCGTCGCGCGTCTGCACCCACTTTTTCCCACTGTTCGTTCCCCTCTCTCTCTCTTCCGTTCTTTCGATTTTTCTAATCTCCGTACGCCACGGAGCTGCGAGAATACGGAACAACGATACCGCGATCGGTTCCTCTTGATGCAACCCTTGCTTTCTTTCCTTCGTTCGCGAACAAAATAATCGTTCACTGGCTTCTTCGTGTATGCGCGTTTGTGTGTGTATGTGTGTGTGTGTATTCGAGACGCACGCCTAAATACATCCCTTGCGGAGGGTCGTCGGGACCACGACAAGCGGTTCCAGCAGTCGCGACCAACGAATACTTGTTGCGATACAAGAGAATCGGTTTAGTAAAAATTCCTACGTATTTAGTTCGATGTATCGTTCAGCGCGCACAGGAGATATCGGGATGCTCGCAGCTTCGAATACGATTTTTTACAAAGCGACCGATTACCAAGGTAATCCGTCCTGTATAGGTGGGAGGGGGGCCGAACGCGTAACCGATCATCCGCGAAAGAAAGAAGTCTAGAAAGAACGTTTGCACCGTTTTTTGGGGAACCGCGTCTACGGATCCGCGAACGTTCGAGAAGGGACGGGTGTCCCGTAGCCGCGGTTCCCGTTCGTAATCGAGAAGAGAAACGTCTCGCGTACTCTTGTTCCCCGTGGCTTCGTCGACATCATTTTCCACGGAGCCTGGAGAACCTCGACGCCGTGATCGGCGGACTCTCCCGTAAATTCGTCAGAGAAGACTCGTTTTATTTGTCCGGTTGGCCAGTCCCGTCTGCGCGCGTCCGAGAACCTCTCTGACGAATAGCTCAGCTCCGAAATAAACCAAGAAGAGACCCCGTTCCTCCGGCCGTGATGGCTTCCCCGCGTCGTCGACGTGTTTTCCTGGTGGTCTCCGCGCGACGAACGTCTCTCGACATGAAAAAGTTGGTGGTTTCGCGCGAAAAGGGATCCGTTCCAAGAGCGTTTCCCTCGGTATAATCGTATAAAAAGTGGATCCTCCTCGGCTCGGTCCGTCGATATTTAAAAAGCACAGCGAAGGAAGGTTTATCGAAGTTCGAGACGAAAGAAAGTTTCGCGTGAAAATAGAGAAAGTTCAAGTTTACGGCAGCGTCCCTTTAGCGGAACGCTCCGGGTTTTCCGTTTAACGTTCGTTCGATCGACGATCGTCCGTATCGCGGCACAACAAGTCTGCTTCGATGTTGCCTGGACGATTCGTTCGCGTGTGTGTGTGTTCTTTGTTTCGTTTGTCCCTGTAACGATCATCCGATGTTTGCTCTCGTTTCGGTCGCCTAGTTTCGTTTCTCATCCTTTCTCTGACTCTGACTCTGGTCTCGGTCACGAGAATTCGTCTCACGAATCTCGATCGCTCGGTGTGTCCCCGAGGTGCAACCGGCGTCCATCACCTCATCTCCGTCGATCATCCCAGTCGCGTACACCTCTCGTCCGACTCGCGGACCTCGAGACTACACCCCCCGGGGGCCGGGACCGTCGATCGATCGACACCGACCAAGCAGCGTGTACCCGTCGATCCGTTTTTTCCACCGCTCCCGAATATCGCGGCTACGATTTATGCGCCTCCCGTTGCGGAAGATTCACGCGCAAACCCAAAGACGCCTGGGGGCGTCCACGTCACCGGACCACCGTCCAGGGTCCCACTTTGGCTAGCACCAGTCTTCGTCGTCGCTGTCTGAGTGTCTCGACCTGGAAAAGAAAAGCGCAACGAACGTTAACGCACTCCGACAAACTGTACCGCCGAACCGATCATCCATTCTGAAACAAACTACGGGGAGTGGTTGGAGCGTAACAGTGAAATTCTCGTGCATTCGCAACGACTACTGGGTGAACAGGGTCTAGGGTATACGGCATGGTGGAGATAGCACCTCAGCGGCCTCGAGCGAGCAGTTGATTCTGTTGCGACCGCAGGTAAGATTAAGAGACGTTCACCTGGGTGTCCTCTGCTTGGCCTGCGGCTGCGGCTTGTAGCCGTTGGGCACTGGGCTGGGCAACAGACGGCCACCGCGACCCATAGCCACCGCTTGCTCGAAGCTCAGCGGACAGTGGCTGGGTTGCATACCGGGCACGTGGCCCACCGGTGGGTGCTGTATGCCAGCCGGGAGCGGCACGTGGGCCCCGGGCACGTGAGGTCCGTGAGTCGGCGAGGCGTTCAACTTGGGGAAGTTGATGTTCGCCGGTTTCAGCTGCAGGGTAGACGGTTTGTTCGGCGTAGGCGGCAGTCGACGACCTTGGCCCCTCCTCGTCACCAACACCGGGTAGCTATGCTGATGGGGGTGATGTCGATGATAATGCTGGTGCGTGTGGGCTGGCTGACGACCCCCTATCGGGCTCGGGCTTCTCGATCGTTGCTCCAGACTGGTCGTCCCGTAGTGACGACCTCGCTCGATCTGATGTATAGGACTCGGCGTCCTGGCGGGACTCGTCGACGCGCTCCACGGACCTGGCGGAAACAACGGTTACAGCGGTGCCTGGACTCGACCATCATCGTGTCTAACGCTAGGGGACTAAAACGCTAAAACGCTCTTTCGACCACCGTACGCTCGTTGGAAATCTTAAAATGCTGGCTTGCATCTTTCTGGTCCAGCTTCTTGGGATCTCCGATGAGCGTACGCCGATTCGAACATAGTTCCTGTCTAGGACACCCGGAATTATCGGAATCGTTGAACGAGGATTCGACTAATCAAGTCCTACTCTGGGGAGATCTAACGTCTAAGACTGCACGGGTGCAGTTGGGGGATTGCATCGCCAGGGGCATGCTGGGGTATCTAATCTTTCTACTGTTCTACGGAAACTTTCGCGGCTAACGAGACCTTCAAGCGGATTCTACGGGATCAGCGTGCAACTTCCACGACCATAGGGCCAACAAATTTGTACGCTACTCTCGAGAAACTAGTCATTCGGTACATTCGGGCCTAAGGGTGTGTGCGTGTTCCGAGTGTGCAAGAGTGCTCGATATCAGAAGCGTGTGTATCTATCCCGTGCGCGATAGATCTTGTACAGAGATTAGAAAGGTCTAAAAAAAAATTAAAAATAAGCGTCGTTGCGACCCAAGCGCGCGACGAGACGTTTTACTATTATCGAGATCTGATGGTGGGATTTGCTCGCGATTTTTCTCGAGCTCTCTCGTCGGATCCTCGCGTGACTCTAACGAATCGCGATGAAGGAAAACCGTCCGCTATTCGGTGTCTGTTATGTGTTTCGATTGTTTGCTTGAACTAAGGATACTAATCTGTATCGGATCGACGTGTTTCTGACTGTGTTAGGAGTAGAAGGTAACACGAGATAACGGTGAAAGCCAAACGATCGTAGACGAAGGTATATAATAGTAAAATTGCTTCGTAACAGGGAGATGAAACGGAGTTGCGAAAGAAATTACCATCGTCGTAATAGTCGCAGTGGTCGTAATAGTCTTTGTAGGCGCATAACAGAACAAAACGAAGAAACATATTACATCGAGTGACACAGAGCTTCTGCCTCTTGCGAGTAAACCATTTATAGCGACATTCATATTCTCGTGTAATCCCGGCCACGAATCTCTTCCTCTCCGTACGGGAACGGAAGAAGCCTAAACGCGAAGAGTATATCGTTTCCGACGACGTTCGTCTCGCGACAGAGATTCGTGGCGTGGATTTCGTCGAAAAGGACTTATCATTGCACCGTGTGCATCTTCGTCGATATTATTATCGCTGTCTTGTACCTCGCAACCTGTGCCGATGATTGTACTGTGACGAATGGGGATGATGCGTGTGTCTCTGAATCTCGACGACGTTGCTAACCGTGTCGCTAAACCCTGGTCCGTCGTGGTAATAATGACCGTGATGATCGTACCTAGTTCGCCTCGGTGATTGCGATCCGTGCACGACTGGCGAGTGTCTTCTGGAAAAGAGAAACATCCGGTTAGAATCGGTCCCTCCCATCCCTCGTTGGGTTGTACCATACTTATCTGCCGCTTCTCTATCGCATTCAAACATCAAAAGTAATGAAAACGGCCCACGATATTAACCCGTTGACCGCCGGTGCTCCTTACAAAATTACCATGAACGTGTTTACGTTAATAGCCATTTGGTATCTCCAAAACTGTAAACGATAAACTCTCGTGGGCAGTCAACGCGTTAAACAATCAACATTTTTACCAATCTTTCGTTGGCATGCATCGGATTATGGGGTATGGAATAATAGAGGGTGAAACAGCCCTTTCGGACCTGACGGTAGCATAACTCTACGTGATATTTCATAGTCAATATTTTTGAAATATACGGGATGTAGCGGGACGGGTATTTAGAGCTTTTTGTTAACACTAAACCTACCAGCACTTCATGTATACCTGTACATAACCTGTACAAAAATATTCAATTCGTAAATTAGTAATTTTCATCGGATAGAAGATAAAACGCCCTTGAAAACAAATTTTCTTTCAAGTCGATACCGTAGGTAATGCCAGAGAAAAGAATCATCTACGAAAAAATGACATAGTAATTATGCAAACACCCTGTATATAAATTTAAATTTATCTTCGATTAAATAAACAATTTATAGTCCAGTTTTATCCCACATCAGTCGTATGATCAACAAGAAGTATTAAAATTACTTTGGGTATGTAGCGTCAAAGTAAATGTGCAAATAAACATAGGAGACAGCAAAAATTATAATAGTTGGTGTAGTCATCGGATAGAGGATGAAATGCCCTTTAAAATGAGCGTTCGTACGAGTCGATAGCTTTATTAGTTCCGGAGATATGGCGATTTTAATTTCGAGTCGATCGCGTGAGTCCGAAGGGTCTGTTTACGTTTGTTTACGTTGCGCATCAATGAAGTCACGTGACTCGTAGTAAATAGTAAACGTGACGTCACTCATTCAGTCGGTCAGTGGGTCAACGTGCGACAAGGAGGTCCGACGCGACGCGTCAGACGGAGACAGCGATAGTCGAATTAAGAAAAATTACCTTTTACATAAATTGCGATATCTCCGAAACGGTAAGTCCGATCGACAAAAACCAAAAGCCACTTTAAAGGGGAAGGTTCACCGCTGCTAACAATACCTTAATAATTAATAAAACACTAGTAGTTTCGGAACTCCGCGCGTCCAAAGTTTGACTATTTTTAATACGGGTTAATAGCCGAGGAAGCGAGAGAGCGAAATTTTAAAAATTACCTTTTACATAACTTGCGATATCTCGAAAACGGAAAGTCGGATCGACAAAATTCAAAAGCCATTTTAAAGAGGAAGGTTCACCGCTACTAACAATGCCTTAATAATTAATATAACACTAGTAGTTTCGGAACTGCACGCGTCCAAAGTTTAACTATTTTTAACACGAGTTGTTAACTCTCCTTTCGCCTTTGTTATACATATATTTGGTACCGAATTTTGTCCAATCAGATGACCGATCGTGGTAGGTTTAGTGTTAAGGTAGGGTTAGAGGCAGATCATAAATTTTTGTGCATGACTGTAAGTCGGAGCGTAGAAGCACCCTATCGAGAAATATTTTTAATAAAATCTTAGTAACTTTATCACCTTTATGTACCTAAACGAATAATAAAACCATGCAATGATCCTTCTTTAGTATATTTCCACACACCGTACGCGTGCAACCGTGCTTAGAATTCAGGTACGAAAGGGACAGGTCAAAGTTTAAGAAGAATAGAAAATGCTTGTCAATTGGAAGATCATAAGAAGTTAGTTGGTCCAAGCATGTTATTATTTATAATAAACGTTTCGACCTTCTGGTTCAGATCTTCTTTTTCGATCAACTTCCAAGTGGCACCAAACAACAGTGGCTTTTTGTATTGCTTCTTGACCGAGCTGCTCTTTACTCGGAGACGCTCCTAAGATTACAATTTTCATTAGACAAACGATGTAAAGACGTAGTCGAGGCTGCAAGCTTTACGATTAGATAATGCTACGGTACAACGACATGCATCGCAACGTTTCAATTTGTATCGATTTTAGGATAGAAAAAAAAACAGAAAAATAATTATGGTACAACCCAAATGTGGTCGAGCAAACCTTGAATAAACGCGCGCGTCCGATTGTTACCTTAGACTCGGTGAACGCGAGGGATGTCTGATTGGATGGGCAGGCGGATGAAGTCTCTCGCCGGCGTGGGTGAGACTCTCGAGACTACCGGCTCGCGAGTCGCTAACTACGACGTCCTGAGGCTCCATCTAAACGAACATACTCGTCGGTTAGGGAACGGTCCCGAGGACACGGTGAGTCAGGAGTTTAAGGAGAGTCGGGGTGTCGCCGGTTCTTTGCCTTCGTTACTAACGGTTCGCGCCTCGAACGAAATATCTTTCTCGACTCGAGACGCCTTTTGCCTCCGAAACGATGAACCTCTGCGCGAGCTTACGTCCACGATCCTCCCCCAATATCGAAAAAAAACATTCCAATCGATTCACCCGGAATTTTCCAGTCCACGAAATCTTGTCGCGACTCGCGCAGAGGCCCCGTCATAGTCCATGCTATTTTCGATGTTTCGACAAACGGTAGACAATCTCGAATGTGAGAAGAACAATCAGCGAAATGGAGCAGAGTAGTCGATATACAGGCACATGTGCGCGCGTGTAAAGGCATGCAGTTAAAAAGATTTCCTTCGGTCATGCTTCATGCTTTGCTGAGTAGTCTCGTTCGGGGTGATTTGTGGTGGTGGTGGTGAGAGACAGAAGAGAAACGAGTGTGTCCACTACCTTTTGAATCGAGACCTCGTTCCAGAGGTGTCGCTTACTTACCGGGTCGCGGACATACATGAAAATTACGACAAACAACAAGACAAGACGGAGAACGAGGCACTCGCAGGCCTGGCTGCGAATGCTTCGTTGCTCTCGAGAGTAATCTCAAGGCTGAAAGCAGCTAGGGACAAGGGTGGGGGTTTCTCTAATACCGACGTTAGAACGGTCACTAAGAATGTTGTATCCAGGTAATGAGGTGGATGTGGGAGTCATCTAGGTGGGCTGCTCTCTAAACGCGATCGGTTCTAATCGGTTGTATTTACAAAGATGCTACCACTCGGCGGTCGCGATCCATTCGCCACTTAAAAACTCTTTGTTATCATTTTTTCGCGTCACTGTATTCATTTAACGAGCATTGCTCGAGAGATTCTCAAGTAAAAAAAGTACGGTCACGGGCCACCCTGGTCTTCTACTTGAAATACAAGGCCCGTACAACTCTCAAAGGAGATTATGCGACACTCAATCTTTAATACGAACAGACTGGGTCTCGAAAACGATAAATAGCGGATGGCGAATCGATCTCGATCACCGCCGACTCACGACATCGCGCGCAATACTTTTCGTCCGTTCGGTTGATCGATCGCGAAACATTGTGTGTGTTCTCTAATCCTTCGTATCTCGAATCTATTGATCTATATCTAGTCTAGTGTCGTTGGAAAGAAAGTGTTACCCGATCTAAAGGTGTTCTCGACTCCGTCTATCAGGAATTTATCTGGTATCACGCAAGCTTATCTAGAAGTGTTCACTGTATCGCCCCGTCTAAAGATAGATCGCTTCAGCCCCGGGCGAAACTAATCGCGACGCACAGAGCCCTATTCTAACGGCGAACGATCTAAGTGTTCTAAGAAAGCGTGTCGTCGCATACGGATTCTACGTAAAAGATCCGTGTCTCGAACGGTCGAGCGAGCACGGAGCGTATCTATGCGTCCCGATCGAAGCGAGTGATCCTCGATCTACCGCGATCCAGACGGTTCCGTTCGAAACGTTCGCCTCCAAACGTTGGCTAGATCGACGAGAGTTTTCCTTTTCGTTTTTTTTCCCCCCGTTCTTTATCGCGACCGATCGAGGTTTGAGCTATCGAAATCTGCGCGACAGGGTTGTTTTTTATTTTTTAGTTTTTTGTTTTTAATTGAATCGAGCCGAGAGACCTTGTGGTAACGGATCGAGGAGCGAGGTGCGTAGGTATTCTGGTGTTGATAGTACGAGGGTGGTCGGTGAGCATGATGATGATGGTGATGGTGATGGTGGTGGTGGTGGTGGTGGTGACGGTCATAGTATAGATCTTTGTCGGTATCGTAGTATTGGTCGTGATGGTGATGGTGGTAGTAGTAGTAGTTTTGATCCTGCTGGGAGGGCACCTCAGCCAGCAATGGCTCTAGCTCGGGGGCGCGATCCTCGTCATTAACTACGGGTACAACCCCAGACCCACCCCCTCCCTGGCTACTCTCTCCGCTGCTGCCTAGTATATCGTACTGGTGGGACATCTTCCAGTTCACCTTTTTATTTCTGAAACCAAAACAATCCCTCATTAGCGCCTCCAATTTTATTTAAAAATAGAAGAAGAGGAGAGTGTCCTGGAAAGCTTTAATAATTTTACAATTTTGACAACTCTCCCCCGCGTAGTCCCGAGCACAAACGATTGTAAATGGTAAATAAAAGGGTTGGAAAGTGTCAGGATACCTGATGCTACGGAGTCGTCTGTGCTCGCCGGCTCCGAGGACCCCGAGGGCCCCATCGTCTTCCTCCCTGAGCTCCCTCTGTTGATCGATCTTCGTTTCCGACGTCGGTCGTATCACCGGCTCGAGGCTGTTCGCCCTACTTCCGGTCCCGTGATTATTTCCGGTGTGATTAACAGCCGTCACGTCCAGTATGCAGTTGAGGAAGGCCGATTGCTAAAGTCGAGAACGTGCGAAACCACACGCGGCTATCAGAGCTGGTCGATACGTTTTTCTACTGTATTGTGTTTGTTTCTCGTCGATCGACGCTCTAGACGGCCGTTCGATCCCCGAGCCAACCCATATTTATCGTACAGTATATGTACAGGCACATACAGGCTTTCAGGCGTTATCTATCGTTACTCTCTTCCCGTTCCGTTTCCTCGTTTTATCTTCTTGCTCTTTTGCGTGCGTATGCAATGCCCCAAGATTCAAGTGAACGAATTGGTTGCGACAGAGAAAGAGAGATAAAGAGAGAAAGAGATTTCTTTCCTTTTTGTTTGATTAAATAAAATAGGCCATGCTAGATAGAAAAAGAGTATATATATCGTGGTGGTGCACTTGAGAGTGTCGCTAAAAGAACGCGTTGACATTCCCCGTCGACAAAATGCACGTCTCATATCTGCGTGTGCGGTTATAAGAGAGATTGTAGAAAATGTTAGGCGATATTCGTTCCATCGCGACGAGCGAATCACAACTCCGGCAAAGCCTGTATATGTTTGTCAAAAAACAAATACCAAAAAGCTATTATCTTACATACGATAGTTATCATTTTATTTCGATCGTCAAGTGTTTTACGAGTGAGCGTAAAATTACCATATGCAATCAGAGACATTTATTTACTCGTCACGTTTACGGCACTGTGGGAATGCAAACGTTAGTAAGCATGCAATAAAGTTGCACGGACCGTCGTCGTTCCTCGAACGTTTCCCCGTTGATTCACGTCCGTCTCGATGCAGCCGGAAGTCTGATAATTCACGCGAGAGGAACGTCGACGATTCGCGAACCTTTCGTTAAAGGTACCAATACACATATGCGAACAAGTCGTGGACAAACATAGTACGCAAGCCAACCACAACGAACAAATGTGACGGGGGAGCTACTTTGGGGAGCTAAAGATTCTGTATATCGTATACACACACATATATCAATATATTTATATATTTAAATGGTCGGAAGTGTACGTTTTACTCGGTATACCAACATGCCTACGTTACGGTGGACCTCGCTTTTCGATCATCCTCGCGACCTCCTCGGAATGGCTCGATTCAAAGGGTGTCTCGAGAATAATCTCGATGAAAAATATTCGTAAAATACGATCAAGGTCCACCCTAGCCTACGCCACAGTTGGCTACGGTTCATCTACTGTCGATTACTTCGAAATACACGAACGTGCTCGCTAAGTAATCGCGAGCAGCTCGTCTACGACTAGTTTACACTTCGAGTGCGGAGAAAAGGGCTTCCTGACGGAAGTCCCTTCTTTCCTGGCGCGACGACGAGGATCGTTCGCCTGGACCATGTCTACGTTCTGGTCGTGCGGCGACTAATTCTCGTCGCCGGGCGTAAAAACATTTGGTTGTTCACAGCATCGTTTTTTGTACTCGAGAAAAATGGCCGAACGTTCCAACGGCCGGGAACGACTGTTCGGGATCTCTAACTACTCGACTTCGTGGCGATAGATCGTTGTTTGTCGTGTTGTTGTCTGCGTGTCGCGGCGTGTAACCGTGTTATGGTGTAACATCGTTAGAGAGGAGACCGTGTGTCTGAGACGTTAAAGCCATCGCGGAAGAGAGCTATACTAGCAAGGCAACGATCGTTACAGAGACTCAATCCAAAAAACTTTCTAGAAACAGTGTCTACGCTACGTGATGGCGGATGGTCTTCGGACAGTGTAACGGACAGACAAGAAAGAAAGAAAACGAAAATATAGTTCAGTCCAGCTAGCAAGAACGCCGAATAAAAGTCTAACTCCAACTACGCTAATACCAAGAGCTCTGGTAATATACAAAAATTAGAAAAAAAAAAAAGAAATAGATTAAGTAAAGACAAACAGTTGCAGCAGAATCGTTTTGTAGTAGGAACAGTCGCTCTGAGGGGATTGGAAAACTAATGTCTCTAATGCTAAGATCTAAGATCGTCTATGTCGGATGACTAGCGGACGAGAAAGACTCGGGTGACTAATCGGTCTAAGAGAAGAATGAAAATCGTGGCTAAACGGAGTGATGTTCGAGGCAAAAGGCGAACTATGTTCGAGGATCAAGTATCTCCGGTTCGTGTTCTCTTTCGAGCTAATTCGTACTACGAGGTTTCGACGGACTATGGTAACTTACTTGCAACACGGCTACACCGTGTTCTCGAAAGGGGGGGCAAAGAGCCGATTCGCGTGGGCGGGCGTGCGAACGACACCCACGCGGCACCGACACGACGACTAAAAAAAATTTCAGCGTCGTCGCGATTTAATGCATCGTCGCTAGGTCTGCGGACCGATGCGCGGCGATTCCGTCGTTTCGCTTAAAACCGATCGGTTCCGGACGATGCATGAAACCGTACGAGCCAGTTCAAACTAGTAGATTCAAGTAATTATCCTAGACTAATTTGCTTATTATCTGAAGAGGAAACGTGCTGTTAGAAAGGAGATTCTTTTAAAGGAAAGACTAAAGTTTCTAAGAGTTCTATATATCGTGTGAACCCGACGGATGCTCTAGTAAGTACTGTCGCTAAATATATATCAAGTGCCTAAGAAAGAAGAAAAGTTCGAGTGTGATTGTGGGTTCCGGTATCGAACGCAACTGCGGCTGATCTTTATCTTACGTATTTAGTTTTTATTGAAAGAATCGATCTGTCTCAGCGAGAGATTTTCATCGAAATTGTCAGTCGCTGTTGCGTTGGGTGATTCGTCGGTCTCGTGACTCGGTGAAAGGAAAGAATAAAGAGGTCTACGTATGTGAACGGAACGCAAATGTACGAGTGTAACGAGTGTCGGTGAATCGTGTGTGCCGTGTATCGATGCATTAGAAGAAAAAAAATTGTACAAGATCAAAAAATGTAGCAGAGATACAACTGCCGGTTCTAACTTGGAAAATGTATTTACAGACTCGATATGGGAATATCGTTCGGGCTAATATATTTTATGTACACGATAGGCTACTGTGTCTCTGCATGAATTAGTGATTAGTCAAATAGAAAACGAACGTAATCGGTATTATGTACAGAAGAAAGTATAATCGTTCCCTGCGAAGGATATTCGATCGTATGTCTCGTTAAGATTCTCTATCGAAGTTTCAATTATCCGGACGGATGTTCGTTGGCACCATCCTTCGCAGTGGACGTCGAAGAAGTGTAAAAATATGTGTCGAGAAAGGAAACGTGATTGTACAAAGTAAAACGAAACGAAAGAAACCGTATTTAGATGATAATAAGTAAGAGAAAAAGTAAGTACTACCGCCTGGGCTGCAGGACTTTGCCCAGCATTATCGTTATCGATAAGATCGTTATCGTTCTGGAAAACAAAGAGAAAAGACACAAAGAGATGATTGAGAGCTGCGTGAACATCCTCTTGTCTGGGTATATAAGTTACATAAAAGTATAGTCTGTAGTTAAATTCGAATATAAAATTACTCCTACACTATGGTCACAATAATAATAACGATAACAATAACAATAATAATTCTATCCTCCGGTAAATCGAAGGTTCAAACCTCGCTGTTGTACTCTCTTTCTATGACTCTTTAATGAAAACACGTATAAATTCAACACACAGATTCTTTTCTAATGTTCTAATCGTAACTCATTCAAAAATCATATTTTCCTAATTTTCTAGAAGTTGTCCATTTTTGCGTCGATTCATCGTCTGCCCCGGCGACGATTTCAAACGTATCTTCTCGATAAAATCAACAAATCTCGTTATCGTTTCACACGATTCGCAAACAGCAGACGATGTGTCGACTCAGGACGTTCTACGTTAATCAGTTGCATCAAATTTGTATTGTGACGTTCAAGGAAGGGTGACATCGAACTGCTTCTACACATATTGACTCTGCTAATTCGATCGAACAGACAGAAATTGAACGTCTTTTTTGTTCGTAAGTAATAGTTAACTAATTGGGCCGGTTCGTTACCACAGCGAGACATAGTTAACTTTTGTTTAAATCAGTGAATGCTTGGAAAAGAGAACAGATTTGTTTTACAAATGTCTCGCGAATGCGAAGACGTTTGAGCACGCTGGGATAAGGAAGTCGGCGAGGAGTCTCGATCTTTCGTTACTCGTTCAAATACATATGAATCGTTAAAAATTCTCAGCACTACTGAGCACACAGTAATATAGCGTCAGAATGTTAGGACTCGGGATGGAAGCTTAGTAATCGTGGTAGTTTTGTCAACTGTTTCTCACGATTCACCGGTTTCGCGACTAGACACTGCGCGTAGGCGTCGACGGTTATCGAAAGTCGTGTTTTCAAACTGTCGACGCTTTTAAATACGCGATACTAAGCTTTCGTAGGTTCGACAAAGAAGCTACGGTGGAGTCTGGTGATCTTTCTATTTGAAACGTGGCTTCCACACCGGCCGTGTGAAATCCTACCACGATGAAGCCAACGACAAACATCCATTCGAACTCAATCCCCCGAATTGCACCCCGCGACGATTCTCGGTCACGTCGATTCGATTTGATACGATCGAAGAAACTTTTTACGCGAAACGATGAATCGACGAACGGCTCGCGGGAACGCAACGCGGGGGGTTTCTTGTTTGAATAGGGGGAATTATCGCTAGGGGCTTCGATTTTCGTACGAGCCACGCTCGGACAAAAATTGATGGGACACTCACCTGTCCGGTCGATTCTATCTGACCAAACCTAGTCGTCCTCCAACTTTCGAGTATCAGAAGGCAGACGTATATCTTACCAACGGTCAGCTTATCTCTGCTTAATTCTGAAACAACGTCACGGTTTCGTTAATCGACTGCTAGTCACGACGGTAGATCGAAAGAGATCCTCACCTTCGTTCCTAGGTATCAAAAGGTCCAACATCTTTTTCGCCTGTAGGGGCCAGATACTTCTGATCGTGTCTCTCAGTTCCTCGTTCGCTTGGTTCATCTCGTCGGCTGTTAAATCACGGTCGTTCAAAATAAATTTGATAAAATATAACATTGTCAGACTCGAAACTGTCTCTTACTCACCGCATCTCATCTTGATGCTAAGATTCTCGCGGATCAGGGCGAACAAAGTGGTGGTGAAGTTGACCTTCCCGTCCACGTCCACCGGCATGTTCATCCGGATGAGCTTCTTGTAGGCGAGCCGGTTCGGGCACTTGTTGCCAAACCCCAACGGCGGATCCATGTTCTTGAGCATGTCGTACATCTCGGTGTAGTGGATCTTGCCGGTGGCGTTCGGATCGTATTCCGCCCAGATCCGAACGAACTCGTCCAGGTGATGGGCACCGAGGATCGACGAGTCCCTGGTCAGGTAGTCGAAGTTGTCCATGATGACGGCGACGAACAGGTTCAGCATGAGGAACGAACAGAAGAAGATGAACGAGACGAAGTACGCGTACGCCATGTTGGAACCGCATCCGTCCGTTTCCTGTTTGCTGGCCTTCACGTCGCACACACGGCCCTTGATGCAGGACAACATGATGTTCGGCCAAGCCTCGCCGGTCGCGCACCTACGAACATCGTTTCCATCACTGATTTACCCTTTTATCGCTCGATCATCACCCGAACCTTCCAGGAAAACATGGAAGCCGCTGACAGCAGACTCGACGATTCCCCCGGAGTCTCCATCCACCGTTTTTAAGAAACAATCTTCCTAGGGGAATCGTCGATCTTGAAGCATGCAAATTACTGACGTTTCATGGTCCACTACGGTTTGTTAGTCTCAACTTACTAGCGGCAAATTGTACGATAACAAATGTTTCGAACACCGGACTTCCCTTGGAAACCATCATGCGTGAGGAAATCAAATATTATGGCACGTATCGTGAATTCATTTTTCTGTGCCAGAGGATGTTCTTTTGTATATCGTACGCGCTATAATATTCGTTTCAAATATGACAAGCAAAATATGCACGTATACTTCGTGATCCTTCGTGATGCAACACCAAAAGCGATACTTGCTCGATCGTTCTACTGCGTGTTGGAACTGTACGCAATTAGGCGTAACACGGCCCGTTTACGTGTGTCGGTAATCTCGAGTGGTGCAGTGTACGTGTCGTTACGAGTACTATCGCTTCGATCGAATGAAAAACTTAAACTTCGTTTCGTGAAATGTTGCGAAAGCTGGTGCCGTGGAATTCTGATCCTCCGTAGTCCAACGTTTCTTGGGGGGAGTTAGATCGAGCTCTGATCGTTTCCAAAAGGTCGTACCCCCGAGAAAGTTTGGTCTACGAAGACGTTTGTCGACTAGTCGAATCGCGAGCGTGAAACTTCAGCGGTGCTCTTTCTCTTTGCGAGGTAAAACAATAAGGAAACAAAGGAAAAAAATATAGCCGTTCATCTGTTTAGCCGTAGTTCTTGTTGCGTTACTTACCGAAAAAGCAACATCAGACCTTGAATGAAGCTTTGAAAATTGTTGTGCTTGGTAATAGAAGTCTCGGGGTCCAGCGCGATGTTACCGAATATCTGAGACCGAGAAAAAGAAAAGGGCCGCGGCCAAAGGGCGAGCACGGCATTAGCAAACAAGTCTTTCCTCTGAATGGATTTTTAATTTAAACCTTATCCAGGCAAACCGCGAACCTGACAACGCTCCCTGGACACAAAATTCACCGACAACGATCGTTTTTTTGTATCATGTCTCGGTTTCTACGACGTGTAACAATAGTGTACACAGTGATAGTGTCGATCTACCCTCTAGCAATACGCATCCACCACATTAATTACGAGCTACGAAACTTCTTTTGCTCTTTCGTTTGAATCGATACGCGAGTACATTCGAGCGAACGCTAGGTACGATTCGATCGGGTGTCGAGCACCGTCGATTCTCTGCCGATTACCCAATCGTCGACCTGTTCGCGTTCCCTCGAGTACCGCCGTAACGTGACCAACTTCAACAAACTAGGGCAAGCATCTCTATGGAACCAACTGTCTATGGGAGGTCTAATTTGCAGGGTTCAATTACAACAGACTGACACGTCGAGCAGCTTACTCTCCTCAAAACCTCATGCCAACAGCCCAATATACTCTCTACCATAATTCGCTACCGATCGTTCGTGTCCTTTTTGCTCTTTCAAACAGTTTCGATCGTTCTCGACACCCGATCGTTCCACATTCTGTTCCTTTTTTTTGGTTAATCTTTTACCAGCGAACGAAACTGTTTCACAGATCGGTAGCACTTCCAAATTCGTATTCGGTTTACCCCGTTTCTGAACATCGCTGCGTTTAGCTGCTCGACTCACCGAAAAAGCAACATAAGACCGGCGAAGAAGGACTGAAAGTTGTTGTGATCATCGATCGCTGTTCCTGGATCGTTCGATATATTTCCAAAGACCTGACAACGGGAATTTCATGTGTCACTAATCGCCGACGCAAACCGGGGATCGTTAAACGTGTCTCTGCTTTCGTTTCAATGCTTCGTCGAACGTTCGAAAACTCTCGGTGCGGTCCATTATCCCGAAATTTCATTTCAAAGTGTATCGTTTCGTTTCGTTACTAATCGCAGAAATTAGAGCTTGTTTATTCGTTGAACGGGCGATACGTACCTGCATACCGATGATCGCGTAGATGAAGAACAGCATCGCGATGAGGAGACAAACGTAAGGCAGAGCCTACAAGAAACGAGTTTATCGATAGAAATTTTTAGCAACCTCGTTCGCAAACGTTAGAGATTTTCTACTCACTTTGAAGGATTGTACAAAGGTCCAGAGCAAAATTCGTATCGTGTACCCCTGCCTGAGCAGTTTGATCAGCCTGGCGGCACGGAACAGCCTTAAGAAACCGACGTTGATGAAGTTCTCCTGCAGGGGGCAAAGGAAATTGCACTTAAACCCAACAAATGCCGGCGTTTCATCGCGATTTCGAGCCGGGCTTCGTGCGTGTAACGTCGGACGTTCGCGGACGCGCTACCAAGGGCCTCGGTCTTCCCTTTGGCGCCGCCTTGGAAACCGTCCCGATGCACGAACGAAGCTATAGAACGCTTTGTATCTCCCTGTACCCTTGGTCCACTAACCTCCCACCAGGTTGAAATATTTCATAGCATTGCATTTCGTCTACGTACGCGCCGATCGAATCTTTCCAGCCGCGAGTTCGACCGAACATTCAAGACTCGTAGATCGAGAAGCATTCGTGAGCATTTTTATATTCGTAAATTCGTAGTAAAAAGGGACTAACAAAATGGGTACGTGAAGTTAACACTAGAGTTAATTAGTTCTAATTTAAATTTAAATGCTCGGACGAATGCACGGCTTGGGGCGATTACGATCGAGAATTGAAGCTAATGTCGAGCAAACGGGATCTAATCGACACGCCTGGGCGTCGCGATTGCAACGTCGTTCGTTAAACCCATTTGCTGTGGTCCAACTATTGACAGCATAATTTTGCTCGCGCGTTATATACCGCATCCATATGCCATTCGAGAGTCTGTCTTGTGTAAGCTGTGTACGCCTCAAAAGTGTAGAGATCGTGTCGCTGTCATGGGCGACGTGTCGTGGGTAAATTTATGCAATGTATGAATATCTCGTGTCTTTTGTAGGAAATCATCGTGTAGCAAGAATGGGTAATCAGGTCGAATTCGACGTTCGAACGAATGATGACGCGTGTTTTTTATCTTTAATAGTAAACGTCGCGCGTTTCGAGAGCAATCGTCCGGTACGGTAGACGACGGTAAACGTAATTTTTTTGTTTTTCTTAAACGAGTAAACCGACACTTACGTCTGTGGTGTAAATGCGACGAAATTTATACCTTTTTTTCGCCTAGTTGGCCGCCACTGGGCACACTCGAAAACCGCTCCTAGCACAAGAAAACACGATATTGCAAAATTATTGGTTCGATCGGACGTTTTGGCACACTGATCTTCATAATATGCGATTATAGAGCAAAAGACTAGCGGTGATTTACAGTAAACGAAGCTGTCACGACGTCGAGACTGCTTCTAAACAAACTTTCATTACGCGAAGCTTGGTGATACATGTTTCTTTCTTTTTCTTTTGGCTTACCTTGGTGTCCGAATGTAAACTTTACAATCTTTAAAACTTTACAAAACCTACGAGGAGTGCAAGCAAATTTAAGGGTAAACTCGACCCCCGACGGTCTCGATGCGGCTTCGACGATCGACTATCTGACTCTTTACTGGATAGATCACCGCATACGTAGCACGACCTTTCGTTTCGGGTCTTAAATACACTTCTACTACAAAAGGAGCAACGAAATACTTGATGGGTAAAGTGCTGTAGTTATGTCGGTTACACGGAGAGTTCAATTCTTTACTATACGAACGTGAGAGCTGCTCAAAAGGAAATTGCTCGGAGCTCGAAAGCTTCGTTGGTAAAATTTAACTACAGATATTAACAGGAAACGTACGATAAACTTTGCAAGCGAAGTTCTGGTATCGTCCGTTTAAATTCAAGACAGTTTAAACTCGTGTTTTCCAAGGTGGGGGGGCACAAAATTGGGGTTGATTTGGAGTCCAAGAACGTAGGATCGTTTCGAGTTTAAAGAAATTTGGAAACCACTGGTTTAAAGAGTCGGGAAGACATCTTGGGGGGAAACGATCAGGATACTTCGAAGCTTCTTTCCCTTTGAACGACGCCGTTGGTGACGTTGCATGTGTGCTGCGAACACCGTGGTGATCGTATACTGTGCAGATGTGAACATGTACAGTGTGGTTGTGTAGCGTATGAATGCAGCATAAAGCTACGTATAAGATACATAAGATTATAGGGGTTCGAATAAGATCGTTGATTTACCTGCTAGCGTACCGTATGCGTACAAGGCGATTCTACAAACTCGAACAAGCCACAACTCTTCTCTAAACGAAGATACAATAAAATTCACACGGCAAAATCTGTTGATCTCCCCGTGCAAAGTCGTCTTTGGATAACACATAATTCTCTTGCATTTCACTGTACACGAATCCGACTCCTCTTTCACTTTTACAAGCTCGAAACAGTTACCACAAAATGCACAGAGAGAGGAATCGATCGACGTAGAAATAAATACAAAAATACGTGATCGAAAGACGAGGGGGAGGAATTTATCTGTTCTCCCCGTGAATTTCTCGCGTTTTCGTTCGGGAAACTGGCTACAGTTTGGCCCAGTTTCCAGAACCACCCAGCGCACACGTATTCGTATACGTTTGCTGAAACTAAAAAAGCAGCAAAGGGGTTAAAGGAAAGACAATACTCGAGATGTACAATCAAGCAACACTGGGTCACACAATTAAATAACGGGAATCGATGGCTTTCCCGTGACCGGGGTCGATCGCTACGTCTCCTTCCGTGAACTGGGGTATTCGATCTGGACATTTACTTCGTTTAGCGATTTACAGGACGACAGTTGAAGCTTTACGTACCCCGAACTCGATCACCAGGGCGTCCACGATGCTGCCGATCACCGTGATGAAGTCGAACGTGTTCCAGGCGTCCTTGAAGAAGTTCTGCTCGCGGAGGGGGATCGAAAAAGAGAGAAAATCGATTAGGGTACCGTTCGTGGCGATCTGTATTGCCTGCTACCGCCTCTAAGTTTGCTGGAAGTCGCCGTCGAATCGTAGAGCATTTTCTTTTTACGGAACTTTCGTCCCCCATTTCGCGACTCGTCGTTCGACGAGGCGTTCGAGCAAACTTCGAAGGCCTCTAAGTGTGTATAAATGTCTGCGAAAACTAGCGCTAAAGAAGAAAACTACGAGTCCTGTTCCGTAAAGAATATTAGAAAATGTCCGATCTTTCCGTGAGTGGTTCGTGTATTGTGTTCGTGTGTGTGTGGTATGTCTGTACGCACCCTTGGACGAATCGTAAATGCTAATGGAGAAACTAAAGTGTGTGAGGAGTCGTGCTTTCGTACGGTGTTTCGAGTAAAGGCCATATATCTTCGTTTTAGGTCGAGAATGTTCTCGCGTGATCGTGAACGATTACAGAGGATAGATTCAGGTACAATAACGACTATAGCGAAGACACCGCGAGTGGGATTATCGGTCTACTTTTTGGTGGTCTCGTTACGTCCAGAAACTATGGCGTTCAACGTTTACCGATGGGAACTGCTCGCACATCGAATACAACGCTACGTAATACACGTGATCTCTACTGATACTGGTGGAAATTAGCACGCGAGAAGCTGTCCCTGGCCAAAGCGTTTAGGGAAATCCGATTCCGTCTCTCTAGTTTCCTCTCGAGGCGGTACGCGAGATACCCGAGTTTTCCGTTGATCGATCGGACCGGGGATCTCTTCTAAAGAAGTGTCTACGGGAGCATGCCGGTTATAGCAAGCAAACTAGAGAGCGAGATAGTGGTAGAGACAGAGATTAGTCGCGTGTAAAGCTATGCTATTCGTATTTTCACCGGGCAAACAGGTTTTCCCCTGGCGACTTCAATGCAAGCATAAAGCATCTGTGTCAGCTTCTCGGTACTATCGCCACGTTTAGGCTTTATGATACTGTTCGGAGGGCGATTCGAACGCGTGTACCGAAGAATCTCTAGCCGGTGAACGGTGCAAGCGAAAACTAATTAAAACAAGGTGGACGATCGATGGCGAGAATGTATTTTAAGAAACAATAGACGTTGACTATGTTTTTGTAAATGAAAATCAGCAGCAGATGTTATGTTAGCTCTATTCAGATAAAATTAATCGAACTGATCCTTTGGAGTTTATTAATTTTTATTAATGACTCGAGTGACTCTAATTTCGAGGTTGATCGGCACGCGTTTCGATCGCCGCTGCACCGCGACTCTGAAATAGACAAAAGAACAGGGAGAGGGATCGTACGTTCGCAACAGTGTCTACTTGCTTACGCCAATCGAACTATGCGGGACGAGAATCGAGAAGGACGAAGTCTTTCTTTATGTACCAGCCACGATTCACTCTGAAAAATCTTCTTTTTTCCGGCGCTAGTCGATACCACGCCTCACTGTCTTTCCCGTACATGATCTACGATCTATCCTTCCGCCATTTTCCATCGCGTAATATCGCTACCTCCGCGAGCACGAAGGGTGACCGACCGGTTTTGGGTGAAGAAGTAACAAACAAAAAAAAGACAATACGTAATATACGGTTAGCGATGGGACTCTGAAACGCTTCAAATTTGACACTCCTGTATCAAACAATTCCAAGAGTTGTTTAAATAATTACACAGAGTTTCGTCGCTAGAAATGATTCTAAATACTTTTCGTTGGAATTGTTCGAGTCTCGGGAGACGTTCGATTATCGATATCAACGATTGTATCGGTCCCATCACTACGTACGGTATATACTATAAAATAGTTGCGTGTGATTGGAGTTAGTGATTAAAAGGCTTTTTCTATACCTTGCATCCGAAGGCGACGAGTTTAAGGATGCACTCAATGAGGAAAAGGAGGGTGACGACCAAGTTCACGACGGTCAAGGTGTCCAATAGAATTGGCGGCGCCTCGTGATACTACAAAATACACCCAACACACAGACGTAACACAAGCAAAGATTCTGCATCGTTATCCGCCTTGCATTTATATTTTCTTTTTCTCCTCCACTTGGTTACTTTGGCAAACTATCTTTTCCTGGCCACCTTCTCGAGCGATTACGATCCCCAGCGACCGGAAGTTGCCTCCGTTTCTCGATTTATTACCTCTATTTTGGAATAAAAAAAATTCACGTCTGGTTCGATCGATCGAGTATTTAGTGAAATTCTGCCCCGACGGGGTTTAAACAAATGGAGTTCCACTGTACATAAAAAGGATCAACGAAACTCTTTTTCCCCCTTGCTGATAAATAGCTCGGGACGCGGAGGCGGAACTTCGAACGGCTTAAGCGCGGAATGGCTCGAGAAGGATCGCTTCTAAATGCATTTTAATCGTTTTCCGTCGGTGTCCGGATTTCCACTTGGTCTCGTAAACTTTCGAGACCGGTTCCCCCCGATAACACGGTTTATTTTTATTAATTTGCCCGTTACTGCGCTCTCCGGTCGTCGTTTTATTCTCTATCCGAGGGCCCGAGAAAATACGCGGGAACGATCGAGGAAACGATTGCTCCGGATGGGATCGTGGCGATCACGTCGTTCTATCGAATCGGGACAATTTAGGCTCCCCGTAGTCTAGCCAAGAAGCAAGTCTAACCAATCTCTCACAGAGCGATCTTCGAGGCAGCTCGCCGTTTCCGCGTTCCGTGACGCGCGTGAAACGACGCTCGATTCTTGCGTGTATGTGTGTGTGTGGTGAGTGTGCGTAGAATTTATAACTGGTCCATCCCGGCGACGGGTAGAATGGCATGCGTGCGGCGGGAAAAACGGAAGCTCACGGAGCTTCCTCACCGTCCGAAACGAGCCACTCGATGGTCGCTGCTGGGAATCTGATCGAATACGATCTATCGCGAACAAGCGTTCCATCATATTTCAGTAAAGTTTAAACGGACAAAATATCCTCTCGTATAAAATAGTCAGTTTCATTGATTTATCGTAATCTCGTTGGACATCTCGATGCTTTCATAGAATTCCGAGCGGCGGGCATCGAAACAGCGTATTCGCTCGTGCCGACGCGACGTTAATCGTTGCTGGCCCATAACACGCAGTCGTTGCAACAACAGTAAAGGTCTTCGACGCCGCGTATCGATCAACGGGATCGATACCAGGCGCGAAAGTCGCAGTGTACGCATGCAAGGATAAAGAAACAATGTTAACGTGCAGTGATCACGTGCGGATGCAACAAGACGGAGAATACCATGCACGGGAGCTTTCAGGGTTAGCTTTCGTCGTACTTGGCATCGGGATTACTTCCTCGAGGCGGTAGTTCCCCCCCGTTGGACGTATCTCGCGGGGGAAAAAGTTTAGTTGGAAAATAAAAAATAACGAGCCAGAAACAGAAGACAGACAGAGATACAGAGATAGAGATAGAGATAGAGACAGAGACAGAGAGAGATAAACAAAAAAATAATTTGACGTGACAGTTATGCTTCGTCTCTTCGTGTACGGGTGATCCAGTGTGTGAATGCGAGTGTCCCGTGTTGTGTTGTGCGTGTGTGATTCGTGTGTTCGTTGATCAACTCGAACGCAAACGCGATCGACCGCTTACGAATTAAAAATTTCTATGAAATGGCAGAGATATGAAATTGGCAGAGAACGATCGACCGCGCTTCCGTTTCCGTTGTTAGCCGCGATCAGACCGTGGTCCGCGGTACTTCCGGTGTCTCGTGTCTACGGTATCGAGTCGGTGAAGAGCACAGGGCGAAGAAGATGTCGCGTGATCTTCTTGATCCTGCGATCCTCGCGAAGCGACGAGCGTGCACGAACGTACAAACTCGTTCGGGATCGCGTACAGAGCCGAACGCCGCGATAAGGAACAATAAGTGACTCCGAAACGGAACGGGAGGCCAAGAAAAGCAAAGACGATCGGCGGTCCGTTCGGCCCTGAACACAAAAGGACAGTCTAACAATAAGTAGTGATCTATATACTCGGAATATCGAGTACATGAATCGACCAGATACTACCTATTCTTACGAAAGAAAAAAAAATATGAAAAAAAAAAGATAGGAGGAAAAAGTAATAGTACAACGCTCTAAATTCTTTCTAACAAGCTTAAACTTACCAGTCTACGCAACGGGAACTGATCCTGCGACGTTTTTGATTCTCTTAACGTTTCTACGTTTCTCGAACTACGCGAGATGAATTTCCACGGATGGAGAGTGACGTGATAGTCGTCGCAGAATCATTTCCCGGTGGAAAGCCGGCCCGAAGCCGGCCGCTCTCTAAGCGCGTACGTTTTCTCGTTAATCTGTTCGATGGAGGGGTTTGTTGGCATAGTGGAGCTTACCCTCACGCCGAAAGCGGCGATCTTCAGTATGCACTCGACGGTGAACATCCCCGTGAAGCACATGTTCATGTACTTCAGCGTGTTCTTGTACGCGTCGCTTTGCCGATGGAACTGCAATGCATACACTGACAAACACACGGCCGACAGAGACAGACAGACAGACGTACAAGCCTATAGAAACGCGCGCGTGTTCTCGCGGAATCGCCGGAGATCGACGTACCCTACGCCCCCTCCCCTTTCTCGCGTCTTCATCCACCCCCCGGACAACGAGAAAGGGTGAGTCCCGTGTCCCTCGTGCGAGACCTTGCCCATCGATACGCGAACGCTATAAATAACCATCGGTTATCGACGATGCTCCAGCAATTTGCTAATAACGCGCGTCGAAATTTTCACGAGCTTTTCACCCTTTCACTGTCTCGTCGCTTGCTCGAGCATCGTCGATAGCCTAATCGTATCAATCCCATCGAGGGAGACTCGGATCGGTGTTCTTTCTAAAATTGGCACGGTTTAAATTTAACCCCTACGATATCGCGACGACGGACGAGGCGTCGCGTATCGTTGAGCGATTACCCGTGACACGGTATCACAAATATACAGGGTGGTTCGCTGGTTCCGTTACAAACTGTTCCCCTGGAAGGATTCACCAGAAAGATTTCGCTTTATACTCTTTGCACCGAAGGCAAGTAGAAACGGACTGCGCATGGTCAGACACATTTCAAAGTCTCTAATTTTCCCAATAAGCACGCTGTTTCAAATGTCTCTTCGAGCAAACTTTAGAAGGGTGAAAGTAGAATTTAACGTCTGATGATACTCGGTGCAAAAATGATGATTTTTATATAAAAATTGTACTATTTACAAACTTTAAACGCAGGCCTTTTGCAGAAGAAAGAGTACAGTTTTACCAATAACTCAATTTTTATTTACCATTAATAAGAAATAGTTAGTATATTAAAACACCTCTTGGTACTAAAATTGGATAAATATTGAAGAAAGGAGAGCCTTTCGCCAGCTCGTTAAAGACTTTAGAACCTCGTGAAATGTACTATTATCGTTGAATTCCCCGTAACGGAGGTAGCGAAACACCCTGTACGTACAAGACGTGTAAAATAGAGTGCGAAATCTGTAAGTTACACGGTGTATATATATATATATAAATGTATATATACACAAATAGCGACACTTTCCAGTCGACAGATAGAGAGAGGGAGACACATAGGTGTATAATATTAGCGTTAACCTAGATACGTGTATCTGTACGATCCTACCGGGTGTGTACGGCATAACGGTGACATTAAAGAGATTGTTTCCTCTTTTATATTGTCGGGGGGGGGGGAGGTGAGCGGGAACGGTTTTACAAAGTACTGTACATTACGTGTTGCTGGTGTGTGCACACGTCTGTACCGGTACGGTACACGTGGTCTCGGTGTAATGGGATAACGACGACAAAATTGGATACTCGTATCATCGATCGGGTACTCGACGATCGATCGCTAACCAAGGGTACCCGACGATGGCTGTAATTTGAGTCTGACGCGACGACCGCGGCCTCGTCGTCGATCATCGATACGGACGTCCATATATATTTATTTTTTTAATTCACGTTCGTCGGGCACGCCGATCGTTCGCATCGGGATCAGTTTCTGGGTGGATAGATGCGAGAGTTTGGTGTCTTGGAAGAGTGAGAGTCGCGATTAAACGAGAGGATGAATCGCTACGGCGAACGAAAAACGATTTTCTAAGAACAACGAAATACAAAACGAAAATTACGAAAACCGAAAAAGGAACCAAGATTATTCGAGACATCGAGGTAAAAAAAAAATGAAACAAGATGGAATCTTTGCAAGGGAACAAGCAGAGTCTCTCCGCTCGAGGTGTTTGAATAAAACGCGTGTCTACGCTTTGAAAATTATTATTCATGTTTGTTCGAGGGCGGGAGAGGGAGATTTTGAATCGTGCGGGCGCCCCGTGCAAGAAACGTGTCTTTGGCGTTCAACAAAAACACACACACATTCAGTGGACGAGTCTCGTGTTTGGTTCGCTCGACCTGGTCCGGTCGAGTTTGCAGAGTTGCTTTTTTGATTTTTGATTATTTCTTGTTGCGAGCAGCCAGCATGCGACGCGTGGTTTCGTTCGGTGCGAAACGTACGCGAGTTTCTCGTGTCAAGGGTAACACCTACGTCGAACAAAGAGACCGCGGAGCTCGTGCCGCTTCGTGCAAACGTATCGCGAGAACAAGAACCCCGGGTCTCTTTCCTCTAGCGATATGGACATTCGAATTATCGTGCGCCACTCGTGTGTGCTCCATTCTCAAGACCATGTGCATAGTGTGCAAGGTGATTCGGTGACATTCCTTTGTGTCGTCAGGCAGATTGTATCGGACAACGAGAATACGAACGGAACAAAAAAAAAAAATAGAAAAAAAAAATGGAAAATTAGCCACGCGCGTGTCCGATCGAGCTTTCGGCGTGTCTATGTGTGTGTGATGGGTTCGATCCAACAAACCGTCGGTCGGATGGATCGAGGCCATAACGCGAAGCATGATCAGCCGCGTCTCTAAGATCGCGTTTTTCCGTGCGCTGCAAATAACCAAAGGCTCACGCCTTGGGCCGATCGCGTCGAACCGATCGGTCGCAAGGGCGCCGTGAAAGCGTGTCGCCTCGTCTTGGACGCGCTCTGCCACAAGTCTCGTGTCAGCAGCCAGCGATCTAGCGAACGATTCAACGCGTGTGTGTGCCGTGGACAACAACAAACGAAACCCATAACAAAGACAGAGGCAGAAGGGTGCTCTGAAAAATCACGTGGACTCGCGTGCAGGGCTTCTTTTTTTTTTTTTTTTTGTGGCTCAGCAGCTTTTCACTCGCCCTTTTTTCTTTCATTTTCATTCGGCCGTGTCTCGCGCGTTGAAACGTCAATCGAATCAAGCCAAAGTTCGGTGCGACGGCTTCGAACCCCGCCACCAGTTCAAACATGGGCTTGTCGAGGCGTACGAGTCGAACGCACCTCGTGTATGTGTGTGTCTGTGGCTGTGGGGAGCGCATCGATGCTCGGTATCGTTTATCCCGCGCGTCCTCGAGGTACGTCTACTATCAAAACGAGGACACAGCAGCGGCCATGCAGTAAGAGAAGGAGCGGGGGAACAGAAGAGACACCGATAGATGGACAAACGCAGGATCGTCGTAAACGTAAACGTAAAGGATTTACAGTAAAGAAGGGAAATTATACCATCGAAAGCGAAATAAACGGTTTGGTAAACGCGAGACCGGTGTACGTGTGTGGGTGGAGGCGTGCACGAATGCCTGAAACTCTCTCTCGAGACACCTCGACTTGAATTCGAACCTTCGAAACCGATCGGATCTCGCGATTGCAATCAGAAGGAGAAAAAATTAAAATAAAACCAAAACTGAATGAAAGTTGCTTTCAAAAGCATTGGAGCTGTTAATATCTTACATTTTGTAGACAGTTTGCAGAGTTGTATTAAATGTACCATTGCAGAGATCCGAGCGGCTTCGTCTATCTCGCGACGACTCGAAATTCAATGCCTGATCTCGATAATGTCTCGAGGCACTCGTGCACGCCTGGCGTGGAAATAAAAGCGTCTCGATTCCGGTTCGTACGAGGTATATAGAACGTATAAAGCATCGAGAGGCCGTCCAACCGATGCGACCAAAGCTCGGCAACCGAATGGAATCGAAACGACGAAAGTGGGGATGGGAGAGAAGGAGGTTGTTCCGGGTTTACGAAAAGGGGGCACAAGAGTATTCAACACAGCTGTGTACACGTATCAATGGATACACAAGGATGACAATTATACAGAGAGCAATAAATAAATTGGCAGGCAAGAACAACAATGTCCTCGTACAGATATAACGTTATATCTTACAGTCGCTTCGAACTCTCCATTGTGCACGTTTGTCGAACACGACCGTACTCTCGTCGACGATCTCGCTGATTATCGCGATCGACGACGATCAGTGTCTTTCTAGGCTGCTTTTCGATTGGTTAAAGTTGCCAGAACGCGACAAGATCGAGTGTTTCGTGAGATTAGAAACGATCCGGGGGTTAACGAGGATTCTATGTACGCCCGGGTACGCGAACGAACAATATTTTTTATTTTTTTTTGCGCGTCTTCTGCGTCCATTACGTTGATCGGGGAATCGGTTAACGTTCGTTGAAGAAAAATCTCTTCCCTTCGACGCGTGTTTTGGAGGGAGGGGGGACGAACGAAACGTGACACTCACCTTCATCATGAGGAGTAATGTGTTTAATACGATGAGAATCATGATAAAATATTCGAATGGCGTCGATACCACTATCCTCCAGATTTTGTACTTTACGCTGTTCCGCTCCTTCGGCATGTACCTCTCCAGGGGTCGAGCTTGTATCGTGAAGTCTATACACGATTTCTGAAACCAACGGGGAATTAGCGGTTCCATCGTGGGAGGAACGGAACTCACGACGAACCTGATTCTTGTCGATTTCGCCGTCCTGCAGTTCGGCCTCTCCCTGCTCCTGGAAAGTGATGATGATCAAGGCCACGAAGATGTTGACGAAGAAGAATGGAAAGACGATGAAGTAGACGATGTAGAAAATGGACATCTCTATACGAAAATTCTGTATGGGGCCCTTGTCCTCGTACGTGGCCGCCATCGAGTTCTGAAGTATCTGCGGCCATCCCTCGCCCGTCTGCACCGCGAACAGCGTCAGCATCGCGGCCATCACGTTGTCGTAGTGAAAACTCTGCGGCTGCCACTCGCGTTTCTTCAGTTCCGGCAGCATGGCGCCGTCCTCGAACACGAAATATTGACCCCTGCGAGGCACACATCGAGCTACCGTCAACGAACCGTGTGAAAATATCTAAATGGAACGATCCTCGAGACGTCTACGACTACCCTTGCAGCGTATCGTACGATAAAATCGGCAACTCTCGGATGTATACTCACTGGCAATCCTCTTCCGTATACTTGCTCTCGTCGGTGCAGTAGAAGAACTTGCCGTTGAACAGTTGCACCGCGATCACAGCGAATATGAATTGGAACAATATATACACTATGAGAATGTTAATGACGTTTTTGAGACTGTTCACCACGCAGTCGAAGACCGCCTTCAGCTTGGGCACCCTTTTAATCGTCTTTAACGGCCTGAGCACGCGGAGCACCCTCAGCGACTTGATCGTCGAGAGATTCTGACCGGCCGAGCTGCCGGTCATGTCGAACGCGAACGATACCGCGGCGCATATCACGACCACCGCGTCCATAACGTTCCAGAACTCGCGCAGGTACGAGCCCTCGTGAAATATGATGCCGAGATCGATGATCTTCAGTATCATCTCGACGGTGAAGACACCGGTGAACGCGTAATCGAAGTAATTCAGCACTTCGTTCCTCGGCGAGTCCTCCCATACGGGATCTTCGGCGGCCAACGCGATACTCGACAACGATATCACCACCATTATGAAGAAGTCGAAGTACCTCAGGTTGACGACCCAATGGGCGCCTCTTCTTATGCTGCAACAAATTTACACCCTCGTTATACACACGTTCGATACTGCCTGACCATTCCTCGATATTTCTACTTCCACTGACTTTACACTCGTATTTTCTGTTACTCTGATCACTCTCAGTAGCACTAACGTTGATGTCAGATCGATGGATACGAGGGAAATACTACTTCAAGTAGAAATAACAGATAATAGTCAGACGTAGGTAAGTTTCTTGCTTTCTGCTGTGAATTCGAAGACTCACGGATTCGTAGAGGACAGTATAAACATGGAGGAGTATGGCAGCATTGGTTTTGGTCCCGTGTCGTCGTCTTCATCCTGCTTTTTCTCTTCGGATGCCTGCTTCCCACCTTTTCCGTCTTTGCTGAAATCGAAGGAGTTCGTGAAAGAACGTTCGCCTCGCGAAATTATTTAAATGTATGGGACACTCACAAATTCTGGCTCGGACTTGGAGGGCAGATCTCCACCTTGGGCGCGCTACCGTCTTTGGGCTTCTGCAGCGACTCGATCTCCTTCTCGAGCTCCTGCGCCTGCTTCTCCTTGTCCTCGACCTTCTCCTCGTCCTCGGCGGCGCTCAGCTCCTGTGCGTTTGCCAGATTGTCGACGGCGATAGCCAAGAACACGTTCAGCAGCGTGTAGTTGCCGAAGAGCACCAGCACGATGAAGTAGAGCGAGTAGACCATGCCCCTCCTGTGACCGCCTTGCGACTCGATACCCTGGTACATCACTTCGTTCCAGTCTTCTCCGGTCAGGATCTGCCCAAACGATCGCGAATTAATCCTCACGCGTAATTTTCCCATTCGAGGACGATCTATCTCTTCTCGTCGCTCGAAGGAAAGACTATATTTATCTGTCTTCTTTCCTTGGCGAGCTATTGTTCGAGGAACTTTTCACGCAATTTTTCCCCAACCCTTTGCCTCAGGATTCCATTTAAAAGATCGTGGAATGATACAGAATGCAGTCTCGCTACGAGTGGGACTCGTTCTTGTCGACTCTACGTTAGGAGGCAAGGGGTTGATCTACATTTCGAAGAACGTTGAACGAAGATGAATCTTACTTGGAAGACAGTGAGCAGCGCGATGGGAAAGGTGTTGAAGTTGGTGGGCGGCGTGCCGTAGTCGAAGTTGAACTGACCGCCGAACAGCTGCATGCCGAGCAGCGCGAATATGAGAATGAAGAGGAAGAGCAGGAAGAGCAGGGAAATGATGCTACGCATCGAGCTGAGCAGCGATATTACGAGGTTCCTTAGGCTCTTCCAGTATTTGGTGACCTTAAAAATTCGCAGGAGTCTAAGGGCACGTAGGACGGAGAGGCCGAAAGAGCCGGACTTCACCTCGGACCAGATCACTTCGAAGATCGATCCCGAGATGACTACGCAGTCGAAACGATTGAAGCTCGACTCGAAGTATGTGCGAGGACCGAGCGCGTACATCTTTATAAACATCTCCAGCATGAACAGAGCCAGGAACACGAACTCCGCGAAGTCTGCGAACACCCAAACATCTCAATTATTTCACTTGTCAAATATTTTATCAAATCAGTCGATATCGTAAATACCAGAGACAGCAAACGATCTACTTTTCTTTTGTGAGACTTACAGAGGAAGTCGGTGAGCCATTGCGGCTGGTCGTAGTGCTCGACGGCGACGCAGACGGTGTTGAAGAACACAAGGATGATGACGAACCAGTAGAACTTTTGCGACTTGACGGAGTTCCTTATCCAGAACCTGAACCTCTTCTCGGCCCGCCAGAATTCCACGCAAGTCCCCTGGCCCTTCACCCTCGACTTGAAATAGGAAGATCTCGTGAAACCTGCGAACCACGCACCGCTCGTTTCAGCAACAAACTCCACGCTGTCGTTTCGTTCTTTCCCCCCCGCGTCTCCATCGAATCTTCCACCGGGTCTAAGAAGAATCCGTTTGTCTTGGATTCGAAAAGCTCGCGATATGATCGATTTAAGAGACCAAGAACGAACGAAGAAACCCCGTACGTACACGTAATACTATGGCTAGCTAAGTGGTCTAAGTAAGCGAGAGTAACTATGTTAAACGATGCGTGTGACTAATCTATCGCTAGGAGTGTAAGTACTTCGACCCAGCCTGTCTTTCGTACTCTATGGGGCAGGGCCTATTTTTGGCGTTCTATTTATCGCCGAATCGATTTCTCGCTCGTCGGCGCTAATTGTTCTACGATATTCCGACGAGAACTGGTTAGTACACCAACTATGGACAACGTCTATACGAGACGAAAACATCAATCGGTACTCCGGCCACTGTCGGGTACACCTAAACCACGTGGATACACATTTACACCTGGAACCATTCGTGACTCGGCAAAGCGTCCGTGAAATTTGAATACAGAATCTTTGGTGACGAATGCTCTCAGGTGGTCGAGACACACAATAATGTACAAGTATACAGCGACACCAGCCACAGAAGCAATTCCTATAAAATCAAAATTAATTAGCGCTTCGAGTATCCGCAGAGTCTGCCGCAACTCCTAGATACAAACCCGTGAAAGATTTTCGAAAGAACAGCCTGCTCTTTCGAGTATATAACGCGCGTGTTTATGTGGATCGAGACACCCTGTACGGTGTATTCTAACTACGTGACAATTACTTCGTCTGGTTGCGCGAAGTATGCTCTGCAGCAAAGTCGATTACGCGCCAGCATACTGTTCCAGTTACGCGTGTACGTGTACTCGAGTATGTCAGTGTGTACGTGGCCTGTGTGTGTGCGTGTGTGTGTGTCTGTTGAAGGTGAAACGACAAGGACCTCTCAAAACGAAAATACAAGGAAACAGTTACGGCATAAAAGTTTACGAGTACAGCCTTGCTTTGCGTTGCTCTTTGCAAGTTCTGGCATTGTCAGTTGTAGTTACCTTTCAGGTTTTTCTTAGGCACTGAAACAAGAGGAGCATCTGATAGCGTGTGTTTAGAATGTTCGTCGCCAAGGTCGGGGGACATCGAGAGGGGGGGGGGTCTCCGTTTCCGGCGCGAAAACGGAAATCAGAAACGGCGCGTCGACTGGCGTCGCGAGCGAGACACTTTTCACGCGACTTTCGGGCCTCGCTCGCGAGACCACTCGAGGCGACGAAGGTGTCGATAAAACGACGTCGATGAACGTGAAATATGCATAACGTGACGATAAAACGTAACGCCGAGATTTCAGAATAAAAGAGAAAACCGGTCGATGCTACGAACGTGAAACGACAGCTTGACATTGATTCCGTTACATTATATTTATTATACATCATGTTATAATTCATCCTTACGACCTCGTAACATCGACGTTTCAAAGATCAACCCTGCAATTATCGCTTCAAATTCATTTTAGAATAAAAGTATCTCTTCGTGCTTTTACAGCGAGGCATGTGCGTTGTCTATTTTGACTCGCACGAATAACGTGAGTAAAAAGTGAACGGATTACTGAAAATCGAATCAATTTGATCCCTACGATCTTAAATCGTAAATCGTAAGATAAGACGATCGAAACAGGGCGGTAGCGGGAGAGAACGAGCGGGAAAAATACAACTCACCATCGTCCTGGTCGTCGTCGCCCTCCTCTTCCTCCGTATCCGTGCTCTTGCTTTTCCCGAGATTCTTCAGCTTCTTCTTTTTCGCCGCAGCTCTTCTCCTTACTGCGAACGAGAAACATTGTTTTAAACGTACGATCGAGAACCGCCGCGAAACGTTACGAACCCGGCATCGCCACGAACCTTCTAATATGTGCATCTTCTCCTCTTCCGTGGTCCTCTCTTCGGCGAGTATTACCTCCTCTAAAAATCAGAAACGAACGATAAAGGAGTGATCGACCGCTGGATGCCTCGACAACGCGCGAAATTACTTCGACGGCGGAGGACAAAGCTAGGCAAGAAAATTGTGTCTGGCCTGGTGGGGAGCTAGCTTAAGGGAAAAGGGCGCCTCTAGGTCGATGCAGCTGTGTTTAGGCTCTCTAACCTGCTTTGCAGATCCAATTCAGGTAACAGTTCAGTTCACGCTCGAGCTGCTGCTGTCTTCGCAATTTCAGGAAGGACTGCCGGTTCTCCACCTTCTCTCTCTCCTTCGCAAACTCTCTACAAGCGTTACAGAGACATGATAGGGGACGGTCGCGCGAAGGGCCAAGGGACGGTTCGCGTTTCTGCTCGATACGCGACCTTTGCTCTTCTAGCGTCTAGCGGAGGGCACCGGTGTCCCTTTACTCTAGCTACGGTACTGCGATACTCGAAACACAGCGTCGGGGAAAACTTTACTCACGAATAACAACAGTTTCAGATTCATTCGTTGTCCGAGAATAAAGTTTACATCGTGGAATACACCGTCGAATAAAAATTACTGGCGCTACAGTGGGTGCGATACGGGGCGGTTACACGCGGCAACTGGCGTGATTCGCTCGGCAGCGATCGCCACTCGAAGCGGGCAAACACCTAGCGGGACGACAAACTTAAGGAAAAGATCGATCGTTTCGAGACCTGCTTGAGTGATCCACTTTAAGTAGGAACTGAACGCAGTCGTGAACAGACGTTTTCTCTTTGCTTTCTGATAAGCCGCCCGCCTCTCGACGCGTGTTCTTTCGTTCGAAAACTCCCTGACGGAAAAGAAAGAAAGGTGATCGCCCGTGTTCCGCGGGAAAACCTCGGACCAGGGTTCCCAAGAGCGGCGAGATCCGTGAAAAACATCCCAACGCCTGACTTCGAACGAAACTTACAATTTTTTATTCAAATGGCGTTGTGACCGTCAAAGTGTTTAGTTGGAACGACAATTTCGAACGAATCGAAGAACCACAGACGAGGTATACGAGGTAGACCTTACCTCTTGAGTTTGTGTCATTTTACAGGGTCAAGGAACAACTTTTCGAATATTCTTAGAATGTCCACATATTCTCCATCAAAATACGCGTAATTTGCCATTTGGAACTTTAAAATCCGTCAATCCGTTCAGGAGTTATGGCATTTTTAAGATTCGCAAGAAATTTCAGGGGAACATATCAACGCTTGGTCAGACATTGCATTTTCTTAAAGAATTTTTTTCTCGAAAGTGACCAGGATTTCGGGGGTATATGTATTCACCAAAAATGATTGTAATTGATCCCCACAACAGAATATAATTTTTTCAGAACGATTAAAAATTCTTTTTTTCATCGAAAATTTCTTGCACCTACTGAATTTTTTTTCTCTAAAACGCGTAGGAATTTGGAGGTATGTATATTCACCAAAGTTGATTATAATTGACTCCCACAACCGAATATAATTTTTTCAGAACGATTCAAAATTCTTTTTTTCATCGAAAATTTCTTGCACTTACTGAATTTTTTTCTCTAAAACGCGTAGGAATTCAGAGGTATATATGTTCACCAAAATTGATTATAATTGACCCCTGCAACGGAATATAATTTTTTCAGAACGATTAAAAATTCCTTTTTTCATCGAAAATTTCTTGCACTTACTGAATTTTTTTCTCTAAAAGGCGTAGGAATTCAAAGGTATGTATGTTCACCAAAGTTGATTGTAATTGACTCCCACAACCGAATATAATTTTTTCAGAACGATTCAAAATTCTTCTTTTCATCGAAAATTTCTTGCACTTACTGAATTTTTTTCTCTAAAACGCGTAGGAATTCGGAGGTATGTATATTCACCAAAGTTGATTGTAATTGATTCCCGCAACTGAAAATAATTTTTTCAGAACGATTCAAAATTCTTTTTTTCAACGAAAATTTCTTGCACTTACTGAATTTTTTTCTCTAAAAGGCGTAAGAATTCGGAGATATGTATATTCACCAAAGTTGATTGTAATTGACTCCTGCGATCGAAAATAATTTTTTCAAGGCGATTTGAAATTTTTTTTTTCGTCGAAAAATTTAGGCACCCCATGTCGACTTTTTTTTAAAATTCGTTTTTCGTATACCTCGTCTGTGGTGGAACGAAACGATGCACCGTAATCAACGAAGGTAAAGTGGATCCCACGGATTCGCCGCGCTTTAAAACGTCGTTATCGTAAGTGACCCTGTATCGTAAAGAACGTGGGGGAGGGGGAACCGTACCGGGGCGGAAAAGGGAACGTCGAGAATGAAAATACTCACCCGCTCAGGACACCGAGAACTAAGTTCAGCATGAAGAATGAGCCGAGGACGATCAATGGTATAAAGTAAATCCAGTTGTACGTGCTGCCAAGAGCGTCGTTTGTCTGCAAATTTCACCAGAACCACGTGAAGCCTGTGCGTTGCACGCGAGAGCACGATGCACCGGTTACGCGGGGATCTACGCGCCCCGATCATCGATCCCAAAGTGTACGCGTCGGTGTACAAACGAACACGATTAATCGTAAGACACCAGAAACGGGCAAAATGTACTTTTTACTTTAATAAATCGTGGTTTAAAATGTCACCCATCTTTGGAATTCGCGTACGATCAAGTACCAATGTACCAGAATGACTTTAGATTAATAAAAAATTTGGTATTCGATGGGCTATCAAAGAAACGATCGACGAACAAGATAGCGAGACGACAATGAAAGTTTCGTAAACGTTGCAGTGCCATTTCACGTATGTATTAGATACGATTCGTTAGCTCGCGAACGACCATAATCGTGCGCGGAATCGAAAGAGACACGAAGCTTTCGAGGTAACGATTCGCGGTTCTTCCGGTTCCGGCGGCTCCGACGAACGAAGCGTAAAGAAAAAAAATGATACAATTAACACCAAAATTTGCAAAGAGGGCTGAAACTGACAGTGTTATACTGAGCAAGGTGAACATATACGTCAGTGTTAGGAGCTGTAAACATTTGCAAGCGCTTCCCTTCTATCGTTCCGGGACGAACGGAAGAGGTAACAGCGGAAGCCAAACTGTCATCGGGCAAACACATAGAGAAATAGACAAAGATATACGACACACAGAAAATAACGAGAGAGAGAAATTGTTGCGAGAAGTGGTCAACATTTAGATCGTAAACTTGAGGGAGGGAAAGAGAAAAATGTGAACGGCGCAGGCATTTCGGGGGGGATCGACACAGAATTATTTGGGTTTGGGCTGCGACTTCTCGTCGAATATTAATCGAATCGTAACGTGGACCAAGGACCAATCGATAAAGATCGAACAACTCTATTGACGGAGGCAGGCAGGGACAGTTGCAATTATTATACGTGTAGTGCAGATATATGAGTGTGAAATACTTTTTCATGGGAACAGTAGTGTTGGTAATAATCGAATTCCATTCGCAAGGTTCGAATACACGTCGAATACCCGAACATTCGAGGAGCCTCGGCCCAACTTCCGGTATCCTTCCGCTGGTCCTCGACGAGCCGTTCGCGATCCTCGCGAACGAGAGAGATTCGTTCGCGGCGACGGCGAACGGGCGATAAATCGGTCGCAGAACGAGCGTAGGCGGAGGGAGAAGCGCGCAATTTTGAAAGGGACGTTCCGGAAATTGAGGAAACAGAGAGAGAGATAGAGAGTTTTTTAACACTGAAGGACACATCTCTTGCTTTACCCAGTACAATATGGCAGTCCAGCCCTCCATAGTGATGCACTGGAAGACAGTGAGCATGGCGAATCCGATGTTGTCGAAGCTGGTGATGCCGAAGTTTGGTCCCACCCAGTGATCCATGCACGTCGAGACGTTCGCGTCGCACACGTGGGCCCCGAACGGCGCCTCGGATTTGTTGTCCGTGTTGCACGGGCTCGGCTGTTCGCCCTCCTTGATGATAGAATCTACAACAGAGCCATCGTCAGACCTCTCGGCCCAGTTACCACCCCGATCTCGAGGTCCTTCGTTCACGGCTACCCGCTATGCTTCTACTTTATTTCCGTTCTCGTGTCTCGGGCCACGGATCAACCCTCGAACAATGGACGCCACGCACGCTCGAGCCGCATTCCCCGTAACCACTGTTCCCTGGCATCGACTCTAAAAATATTATACCTTCTCTCGAGAGTACGGAATATTGTTGACCGTTGCCCGAGGGTCGAAGCACAGGTCACCGAGGCGAAGCGGACGTTCTTCTCTACTCACTGATATCCCTGATGCTGTAACACGTTTTGTGCAGGGTTCCCGAATAAAACTCGAGGCCGATGATGGCGAATATCACGATGGCGAAAAGTACCAGCAGGCCGATCTGCAGAAGCGGGGCCATCGCCTTGATAATAGACTTGAGCACCACCTGGAGACCTGTTCACAAAAAGTTGTTCGAGGGGTAATTAGGCCCAACCACCGGTCCCTCGAAGCGATTCGCGCGTGTCTTGTCGGTTCGTTTTATCTATTTCTGTATACTTTTTTTTTATTACGTTCGTGTTTCAGTTTCGATCGCTGCTCGGGGAATCGTGCGCGCGGGCTACGAGTTTCTCGTTAAAAAAGAAAAAAAGAAAAAATGGTATACGTTTTCATTCCACGGCATGTCTCAGAAAATCGGGCAAATCGTTATCAGCCTGGGCACACGGCACTACTACGGTCTCGCAATATAAATTCTCGCAACATTCCGATACGTTTCGTGGCTGGCAAACGAATAAAACAACATTCGATCGCAAAACGATCCAGCGGCCATACAATTGGGATACTTCGTTGTTACATAGACACAGCATACAGAACTCTCAAAAGATATCTATTTGGGTGGTGCTACATAAACAAAAAATAATCGTTCTAACGTTGCAAGGCATCTACGTGTAGAGATATATATGGTAATATAGATATAGAAATATATAATAATATACTTGCAACAAACTTACTACACTGATACTACGACCTTTAGTAACTGTACGAGGACGTATTTCGTCGGTCCGCTCGTGATCGGATCTATACAGCAACTAATCGATAAACGTGAACGTTCCGAGGAACGGATCCAGCCGATCCACGAAGTATCCGAATTCCAGACGCGGGACGGTTTGCCGGGGCAGCGACGCGCGTTCCTCGAGCAACGAATACTCGCGGCGTGTTCTTTCCATCCGATCGAAACAAATTTGCCTGCTCCGCGCGGGATCGATAGACAAAAAATCGCGAACTGGAATTCAGCAGCCAATTTTTCTTTTGCGCGCGTCGATCCGTCGACGGTGAAGCTAGTAACGGCGCGAAGTGAGACGAGGCAATTTCTTTTGGTTCTTTTTTATCTTTTTTTTTCTCTTTTTTTTTTCGGCTGGATTTCGTGGCCGATTGTATTGAAACGCTACTCACTCGGTATGCCGGAGACAAGTTTGAGCGGTCGCAACACGCGTATCGCACGCAACGTGCGCAGATCCATATCCAGTTCTATGCCTTGCGAGAACGCCGTGATGAACCTGCCCCAAAACACACACACCCCGCCACACTTTACTACTTACTACTCTATTACACTAATACTCACGCTACTTAAGTACTTAAGCTACACAACTATGTGGTTAACTAGCGTTCTATGGCCTAACCCGTAGGAGTCGGGAGAGTTTCTATCTGGGGGGTTATTTGGTGAAGCTCGCCGTGGGACCGATGTCTTCGGTTTCTCGGTTTTTGCTATTCGATTTACGAACGAATCGACCGCGCCAACGCGGCGATCTGGGCGTCTTCTAGGCTAAGTCGGAGAAACGGGATGATTCTCTATACGGGGTGACTGACTTGGAGAGGCGGTCTTAATTGTAATCACAGTTACAACGCGATGCGTGCATGCTGATCGAGTTTAGGGTGGAAGAATTCGTACAATCGTAAATTTAAGCGATAGAGAACGGGGGTTGACAAAACTGGAACGATCACCGTGGTTCTAGAAATTTAAAAATATAAATAAACGTATCGCATTCTTAAATTAATAACATGGAAGCGATCGCCATGACCCACATCCTGATTCGTCACATAAGATAGAACCGATCGTCATGACCCCACCTTGATCGCCGCGACCCGCACTCCGGTTACCCTGACCCCGCGCAAGTGGACGACACCAATCGCGAATCTTTATTTTGCATTTTCAGAACAAAATGCAAACTTATTCGATCCGCGGAGACCCAAGCTAAGAGCTTATGCTTCACGTGTAAATCGATAATTTAAAGAGAAAATTACCCCGTTCTCTCTTAATGCGCGTTCAAAGATTAGGAAATGTGGGTTAAAAGGGGAACGAAAGGTCAATGGGGTAAAAAGAAAGAAACGTTTTCCATCGAATAGAGAAAGATTCGAGTAGACGTTGTTTAAATTTACGTTTGTACGTATTTTCTTATACCTCGGCGGAACACCGTCGCTAATGGATTTTAGCCGCCCGTTTAATCTCAAAACTTGATACAAGGGAAGCTTTAGCCGCGTGACAGGCGTGCATTAAATCGATGTCGATCCGACGTTTCAACACAGGCGAGATTGCTCTTCGGAAATTTCCTTCGTTATTTAGCGCTACGATCAGAAATACAATAAATTAAGAACCCCTAGGAAAGGTTTACTAAAAAAAATATGAAAAATAATCGACTCGAACCACGACTTTGATCATCGATACGTTTAATTCCGATTCCGGGTGTCGGATAAAAAGTAAAAAATGGACATTTCCGGGTCGAAACGTCAAACCGACATCGATTCAACGTACGCCCGGCTCGCTTGTTAAAACTTTCCCTCGTATTAGAGAACAATTCCATGCTGCGGCGGGTGGGGGCACGCGCAAACAATAAAATAAAACCGAATGTTTTTCATGGGCGTCTGTTACCTTCGGGCCAGAGTTTCAACAGCTTCGGGATAAACAGCCGCACGGGAACCGGATGAAACTTGAAATTTGCTCGGGTTCGATCAAAGGCAAAGGGGTCAAAGTTAGTGTGGCTCAATTGTACAACCCAATCCGAAGACAAAAGGCTGAAGCTTGGCTCTCGACTCTGGCTGCTTCGGATTAGCTTATCGAATTAGCGCATCGGTGGATTTACCCCTTAAACTGTCTTCCGTGAAAGGGCGTAACGGTTTCAAAGGAAATCAATTTTGGACGATTATCGGGACGATCGGAATCGCCCAAAAGTGTCGCGTATAAAAAAGTATTCTAAGCATGGAAGTTAATGGTTGAACGATGAATTTTTACGGAGAAGGTGAAAAGAAAGGGGTGAATTTTGCTCGCGCGAGATGACGAATCTAGATCTAACCGGTGACTGGTGACGCAAAAGGTAAATCGCTGCTTGGATATAAATTGTAACTGCAGTTCTAGTTCCTCGAAATTGTTATAAGGGAACGTCCGTCGCGGTCGTCGAACCCATCCGTTTACCCTTCGCCCCCTTTCGCGGCTATAGATACCACCGGGGGATCCCATATTCTTCGTTAACTGCGTATCTCCGAACGGGGAAACCATCGCGGACGACCACGACGGATCGTCGATAACGTTCACCCCTTAACTGCCGACCGCGCCGCACGCCGCCATTGTAAACTTCCTATTAACCTAAAAAGAATCGCGACTGGCGAATTTCCATCCATTTAATAACGGATAACAATGTTTCCACTCTGGTCTTCGATTACTTTAAACTTTCCTCCATTTTCTTCCGAATCAAACTTTAATACCAGACTGTACACGTTATTCTTAATTTATAAACAAATATTAAACTAGTAACGAAAGCTCTGAGGATCCAGGCGTCGCAGTTGAGGGGCGACGGTACCAAAATGGCGACGTTAATGGGTCGCTCGAGCCCAAAGATCGCTGTTGGGACTATCTATAAGGGTGCACTGAAACTAATAAGGGAGTATCGCCAAGAATAGGGCGTATAAATACCTTCGTCCGCGGTATCGGTAAAAGGGTAAAATTCGATTGGTAAGATTCGTTTGCTTCCTTGGAGTTACGGATTCGTGTCCCTTGGACGCGATCGTCCGGAGAATAGCGAATTCCGCGCGAACGAGTCGCGAACGCTCGCAACGAAATGTAAATTCTTCTTTCTTCCGGCGTCAGGTTGAAGGAGAGAGAAGCATCGGGGATCAATAGTGAAAGGGAAGCTGGTGTAAGAGAGGACGCCTCGTGGAGGTCTACGAGTTCTGTAGGACGATGACACGGTCTCTCGAGGGTGTCTAAAGGTACGACTCTCTAGCAAACACGAGCTCGCTCGAATACGTTACTGCTCTAGAACACCTATTACCTATTTACCAATGTATAGTCAACTCTATCAATCAGTGACTGTAGCTAAAGATAGAGACTGCTAAATATAGAGACACCCGCAGGCCAGTAGTTTTGTGTGTTCGTTTTTTTCTTTTTTTTTGTGACAGCGTGTCGACGTGTTTGTCGCGCGATTCGAAATCACCGGGCTGTTCGAGAAACATTTATTATTCGCCTGCGCGAACATTTATCGAATATACGCGGAGAAATTTACCGAGCAATTTGTGTCGATTAAAACCGGAACGTAGCGAGGTTCGAATCGTTTTTTACCCTCTTCTTTTAAATACCGGCGCTTCTCTGTTTTCCTGGCCAATATTGACCGTGGCGGATGCGCGCGAAATATTTCCTCGAAATTTTCGATGACGTACGAAGGATACGTGAGTAGAGTACCGGGAAGAGGGGGAGGGGGAGAGGGAGGGAAAAAACAAAAGAATCGGAGTCCCGGAGTTAAAGATGAGAAATTCGGGACGCGTCCGCGAAGTTTTCCGTTCCTTAATGAAAGGCCAAAGATTTCGGCTAGAGACGATTCGTGGTGCTCGTGTATGTGAATGTCTGCGCATGTGTGTGTGTGTCTGTGTGTCTGTGTGTCTGTGTGTGTGTGTGTCTAATTCCTCGACTTCAGAAGTCTCTAAAGTAAGAACAACGTGTGCATAAAACTGAACATAACGACAGAAGATAGAGCAAATAACGCAATATAACACTAGCGACTAGTTCACGCAAGTCCTCTATAGAGGCAGTAGAATATATACGTATATAGATATATATAAAATAGACACTCGAATTACGCAAACCACGTGGACACAGAATATATAGTATAAATATATAGATATTATATTCAATTAATATATCGATCATCAACTCTCAACGATCATCTAGCGTCAATCAACTGTTCTAATACACCCATAGCCTCTAAGTGGTGGTTAATAAACGAAAACAGTAACGGAAAGTAAAACGGAAGAAAACTGGTAACGCTTGAACGACACGTTTAGTCGGGTAACTAAATAAGGAAACTAAATGGATAGTAGAACTAAGGCGGAGATTAGTAGAAAAGACGAACGTATATATAGGTGTAAATATACGTAGAGAATGTAATAAAAAATGTTAGCTGATGCTGGTCTCGCTCGCGATGAGCTAAACGTCGACCCAACGTGTCAACAAAAAAGCATAAGAGACAGACAGTAATAGACATAGATAGTGACAGACAGAAAGAGAAACTAAATGGTCTGACGAACTAATTGTGTCTTGTTAATCAAGAAACAGTTTAAAACTAAGGAGACTAGTCGAACGCACACAAACTGCCAGGAAAACAACTGCCAGGGGGTGTTAGGGTAATAGTTAGTTTATTAATCTGCTGCTCGACTGTTCTCTGTTACTGCACTCTGTTACTGTTTACTTATATGGCTTTCGCATGTCTGCCAATTTTCGCAGAACTGTGACTGACTCACTTGGAATTTTCGAAACCAGCTTTAGCGGTCTGAGGACCCTGAAGGAACGTAGCATACGCAGGTCGACGTCCACGTTTGTTTCGGCGAACACGGTCATCGACCTAATCCAAGGATTACTCTAGAATCTATCTGCTCGGCCGGAATAACCGATCGACGTGCTTCCTTAAATCTTAAACCTGCGCGGAGACGGATCCTTTCCTCGCACGCGGACCAAAACGGTATTAAAAATCTTTGCTTCGAAACGATGCTTCTTCGATTCTCGGCCAAAGACGACGAAAGGATCCTCTGCGCGGTGTTTCCTCGTAGATCGGGACGGTTTATCGCGGGGATCGATACTGATATCGCGCGGGTATGTCGATCAGACCTGACCGTAACATTCTCCTCGTCCACTGTTTTCCACTCCAAACGTCTACGGAGGCGATGGAAGCGACACAAAGATGGAAAACGGAAACGTGTAATAATCGTGTAATGTGGCCGTGAACAACGATGCGTTATCGTACGAGATTTCAGTTTCTGTTCGGAGGAGAAAACGAGGGAGGGAACGAAAGATCGTAAAGTCGTGACCATGATAGATCGCGGTATGACGGAACAGTAACGAATGTAAAACGGGGTCGTGAGAGATTCCGCGAATCGTATCGCGAAGAACGTCACGGTTCTCGGATGCTCGTCGGCCCAAATTCCCGCTTTTCCGCGTCCCGAACGATCCCCACCGGTTTTCCTTTCGAGCTCGTTGGACCGCGAGTACGCCGAGAACCGGGACGATCCTTCGTCCAAGTTACACCAAAAGAAGTGGGGGGAGATTCACGAGAGAGAGAGAGAGAGAGAAACAGAGTGATGGAGTGTAGTAGAGAATAGAAAATGGTCCTCTCACCCGGTCACCACGACGAAGAAATCCATGATGTTCCAGATGTTGCGCAAATAGGAGCCACGGTGGAGGACGAAGCCAAGGGCGAGGATCTTGAGGCTCGCCTCGACGCAGAAGATCCCGAGGAAGTAGATTTCCGTGGCCTCGAGCTTCTGTGCGAGTATGGTCTTGTCCTGCTTCGGCAGGTGCTCCTCGAGGGCGAGGACCACGCAATTAGCGATGATGGTGAGCAGGACGGCGTACTCGAAGGGCGGCCACTCGATTATGAAGCGGGTATGCTTCCTGATGCAGTTATCCTCCGACAGGATGAACAACGACGTGGTGCCCTTGCCGCCTCCCCCACCGCCACCCGCCCCTCCGCCCTGATCCCGGCCTGGCGCCATGTCCACCAGACCAGGTACCTGTTCAACCATCCGTTTTACTCCCCAGAAAATCGCTTCTTTGCGTTCGTTAACATCCCCAGACACTCCAGGGTCCATAAATGCAAAAAGTACGATGTATTATGTGCTTATAAGAAGTCTGATTGATGCCTGGATCCCCACTCTAAAGTTTGAGAAATGAACAGAGTGGGGACAGTCGTCTTTACGCTCTGTTTTACTTTCTGAGAGAAAAGAGCGTGAATTTCTAATCCCAATATGAAAAACTGGAATTATAGGATGCCAAGATAGTTTTTTAAGGAGGGCAACGTTTCGTAAATGCTGTTCGTAGCGTTTGGATCCTGTGAAGCGAGAATAATACGCGCGCGAAGGGTGAGCGGCACGATAAGAGGAGCCGCAATTAACGAATATCTCAGACGAAGCTTTCGCAAACTTAGATGGCTCTTACCTCCCCTCCAAAGCTAGTCCAGTCACCGAGACCACTCAGTCCGGCCCACCTCGGCCTTCTCCTGTACTGACTCGCGTATCCAGGGTCCCTTTGTGCCGCCTCTTGCGCTGCCAACCTGAAAAACACGCAAGACGAAAGGTGTTAGTCAAAAAGTGGAAAACTCGAAGCTATGAATCTCGCGAAAATCTGCTATATCATCGAGCCTTTTTAAATTTAAACTATTCGAGATTTTTACATAATGTACCGTAACGATAAAAGCAGAGTCACGTGTATTAGTAAGAATTAATTATGGCGAGTCGTATTATTTAGCGCGCGCAAGATCGTCGTCGATTTTTGAAAGCCAGTCTCCGGAGACGCGTTTCGCGAGAGGGGCTCGTTAATGGCGGACGCGAGCGTGCAACGCCTGGTACTAATTAGCTCCATTAGCCGAGACTTTCGCAGGGAGGATCGGGGGCCGCTCGCGTGGCCTCTCCTCGCAGGAAAGTGCAATCAAGCTGGACGATAATGCAATAAATTCGTCGACGAGGAGGGAGGAGACCGGTGCATCGGTGCATCGGTGCATCGGTGCGTCTCACGGATCGACGAGGCTCGCGAGACTTCCAACGAGCTCGATATCTCGTCGAAGTATCGTTGGGAAAATTGCGTCCTATTCAGCGGACCTTGATTCCCTATTCAGCCGTGATCAGCGTTCCGCCTTTAAGAATTTAGAGCACGTTCGTCGCGACGTGGAACGTCCAACTTTTTCGCGACGTTAAGTAGCGAGGAGAACGCTCCACGACGACATATTTTATTCGAGATCCGCGAACCCCGTGGTCCCAGTTTCGTCTAGAGAGAAACCCTCGACGGTGAATTTGCACAACGAGTCCAAGAATATATTTATGGATCGATCGCTTGGGCGCATTCGGGATGCTACCGAACCCTCTAAAGTGCTCTTTAAATTCTTTTAAGAACGACAAAACCCCCCGATGCCTTTCGTCCCCTAACGAGAGTAATCGAGCGATGCACGATTTTTAATGCCGAGGAGTCCCCCTTCGAACGATTTCGTCTCGATCTTTTCCTTTTTTTAAACGCCGCTGAACCACGTCGAAAGTACACGATTAAGCGTCGCGTGAAATTTAATCGAGAGCCGGGATAACGCCCCGGGGGAGTCATTATTCTTCGTAATTAATACCGACGATGCTGCGTAAACGAGGACTCGTACAGTCCTCTCGAATACGGCTGAGTTTCAAAGTTACTGAAAATAAAATCACGCGAGCCAATACTTATTTCTTTCCTTTTGATTTTCGTGGGCGGGAAGCGTCGAGACGAGCAGGCGTCGCGTCTCGAGCGGTAATTGCGATTCACGGATGGCCGTGTGGCGTCGAGAATGACAAGTCGCGGCGTTCGAGCCTCTGATTTCCGTCCGGGAGATGAAATGAAAAGTTCGCGGAGGATCTCAATGTCGAGGGCGCCGGTAGTATTCTTTGCTGGATGATCCGTGTGTTTCGAGGACGAGCAACGCGCGCGGCACGCTCGCTGCCAATTAATAGCGACTTAATTTAGTACATCCACCCGCGGATACGGAGAGTCCATTACCGTTGGCAGGGCTAATTAGCTGCCCGCGCCAACCTCGTACATGCGAGACGCATTAACATACCATTATCAGTCGGCCACGGTGTCGTAATAACGGTAACAATGTTACTATCGACGCGGCGATTGCTGTTTCGTGCTCACTCGTAACGTCAACGGAAACCTGTTTTATCACACACCGGGTGTCCCGCTGGAATATTCAGCGATAATAATATTTCGTAGAAAAATAGATGCTTCTGTACCATTCGAAGTCTTCCCCTACAATTTTTCCCCCATCTCGTTCGGTGCTCTGATTTTATATCTCCGGTTGCTTCGATGCCATCATATCGGATTCCGAAATCCATCTCGATATCTTCCCCTAACGAGTGCGGTACAAAGGACTTTGACCTCGTATCGAATAAAAAATTCAGCGTCGAGGCGACTCGTCAGAATTTTTAATTCGAGTCCCACTTACGAACTCGGAGTTTCAAATTCCAGCAGCACTTTTGGAGTTTCCACGGATCCAGTTTCGAGTGGTAGGGTGCTTGGAGGATTCTCTGGTCGTTGTACAGGCTGCGTAGAGTCGTTAGAGGGTGGAAAAGGATAGAGTCGGATGCGACTTGCTGTCAGATCGTCCGTCCGCATCCGGCTCGACCGAACGCGTCTCTGAATTATTGAAATCGAACCGGGGAATAATTGATAGAGCGCGCCCCGTGACCGACAGATCGATAGTACTCTCGAAAATGAGTCCACACTGCCTGGCAACGACTTGGCGACAGAACGGTGCAACGCATCGCCTAACACAGCTCTTCCGTTCATCGCCGCCTCGATGATTGTTATGCCAGCAACAGGTGCAGGCGTATCGCTGATTACGCACGGTCCGAAAGTTTCGGAATTGAATGTCTCGTCCAGGGCTGCTCGTTCCCAGCGAACTGCAGACGAGATCCTCCACGCCAGTCCACCCCCCGTCAAATCGAGAACGTTGTCGCCTCCCTTTCGATTAAACTTCCGGGCGAAGGTAAACTTCTCGAAAGTAAATCGAAAGGACTCGTTTTCAAATATTTTACTGTTTCAAACGAGGATAAAAAAGGTGATCGAGGAAGAGAATCTCGATGGATTGTCCCTGATCTAGGCAACACCCGTTCGCGAGAATCTGCATGCATTTGATCCCGCGAATCTGTCGCTATAGCCACGTAATACTCGACGCTTCGAAGATGGTGGACGCCGAAGGCGGGGGTTAATCGCGATTTACGCGGTGCAACGTCGAGTTTTACGGGTTAACGGGCGACGGGATGCAGAGGATCCGTGCCAAACGCTCGTGTCGCTTGGGCGTCCGTGTTTTTTTATCCCTGGGTAATTGATACGAGGCGTCGCCGCGGCGTCTGAATATTCACGATTCGATTTTTTTTTTTCAGAACGCGCGAGACAGTTGCCAGGCCAGCTGGCGTGGATCAACGAACCGAAAAACGATCCCCCAGCGCCCTCGAATCGTCCAATTTCCGTAAAAAGCACGCCCGGTAAGCGTTCACCGAAGTTCAGTGGAACAGATCGACGCATGGTCGGACCTGGCGCAGTAGTCGAGCATACGATAAGTCAGACGGAGTCGAAAAAATCGAATTTTTGATAGATTTGGAGTATCAGGGGATATTCGATGCTTCGTGAGAACGAAGTGTAGTCCAGATTTCAACGAATATATGGGCAAAAATGACCCCAAAAGAATAATTTTTCTATTAAGAGATTTGTATTTCCCAGTGTATTTGTACATAAATTCTAAAGCGAAGCCGTGGAATTTGGATGTTAACTTCATCTATAACGTAGCATTTAATCGGGTATACGTGCTAGAAAGTGAGATAAAAAATTCGCGAGATATCCTGCGGTATTCTGACGCACGAGCCAGTCTTACTGCGAGGATATATTCGCGTACGCAGAAATGCACAACGCCGGGGGAAGAAATTCGGTTAAATCCGAGCCTGTAAAATTCACGTAACGAGAAAAACGAAACACGAGAATCTACACCGGAATAAAAGCACGGGACGATGGGAGAGCAGGAGAAATGCAAAAACTGCCAAAGACGGAATAAACTTTCTGTTTGCCGGACAAAAAAGTTTTCTTGATTCCCGTTAATTGAAGAAACGGCTCCGCGAAAGCTTGCGGTTCCGCTATCGGAAAAGTATACAGAGGATCCGCTGGAAAAAAGGGGAATCAGTCGATGTAAGCCGTTTCTCCAAATCCCGCTGGAAAATGCAAAAATCGCCAGTTTCTTAGGGATCGCTGGGAATTTAACGAACGGGGAATCCTTCCGTTTCGACGATTATTCGCGAAAGCAAAATTTCGAGAACGCGAGGGAGAAGGGGTAGGAGCGCGGAAATAATTGGCCTTCGATTCCGGATCGACAGCCAACGATGCAGCGATCGCGTCGGGAAGGCCATTCGATTTTTTTTTTTTCCTCCTTTTCACAGATATAAATACGAACGTTATCGGACTTGGACGGGCACGGGTCGTCGCGAGATTTCCATAGGCCGTGATTGTTCGACCGAATGCAGACTCGAGCCACCGATAAGCGGAATTATTTTCGCGCGTAAAAAGGACGAGAGTCGACCACGTTACGCGGGGGTCGCCTCTCCACGGTGAAATTTCCCCGTCGAGGAGCACGGAGATTAGTGTCTGTTCGTGGCAACTGGGACGGCACTTAAAAGTTTATTATGGCTCATCAGTTATCGACGATACTTCTCCAGAGTTATTAATATCTTTCGGGAAATCAATATGAACGACGTGACGTCCCGCTAGAACTAACCCCCCTTGAAAATTCTTCCATTCGCGTGCACGGTTGTCGCCGTTAACCTTTTAGCCGTTCAATTAGCCTCTAATTTTTATCCTTTCGTCCAAGAACGTCCGAATGTTTCCCGCTGGATGAAACCACGCTCGAGTCCTAGTTTCTACCGGTTCGAAACCTAGGGAATTCTCTGGAGGCGAGTTACAGATACCGCAACAATCGACGCACGCGCACGGTTTGCGAGCGAAAATCAAACTCCGATGCAACGCGTGACGAATCAAAGTTTTCAATCTATTATTCAATTCTTTAAACTGTCGACTAGAGCTGGTCGAATATAACATCTCTATTAGTTACTGACGAAGTAAGTTCCCAATTCTATCTCTATGCCCTGAAAACCCTTGGCCCTCGAGTCTCGATTCGGCACGGAATTTTGAATATTATCGAGCTCTCGTCTTCGCGTGCTGCATTCGTCTCGTCATCTTGTATCTATTCCCCGGATACTCTTGTCCCGATCTCTCGTAATCTCCCTTCTCGAATATTGTGACGCTGTACACGGTCTTGTGTCCCCAGCATCGACGACTGTGCAGAAAATCTCCGTCTCCGAGCTCCCTGGGACGTTACAGGTTTTTCACCCTTTCCTGCGAGATCCTTCTCTACTGCACTGTGTGGCTAAATTGTTGCAATGGGCCAGGTTCAAAGATGCAACCAACGCAGTGATAATTCTTAATGTGTCACCTGATAGTTTTAAACCGGGGGCAATCGGATTAAAGGAGGTAAACGGACCAGACTGATGC